GCATACCGCCCTCTTTTATTTGGTGGACACCTCGGCACTTTGGGGTGCCTAATTTATTTCAGCATACTCTGGCCGGCGAGCATACCCGCGGCAGAGTAACAACGTTACAAGTGGCGCCCGAGCAGGGACCCCAAAGAAGTGTGAGGTTAGATCCGACCAAGTAGGGAAGAGAGCGTGGACCTACGATGCTACGAACGAGCTGGATACGTGTGCTGCGGAAGGAAGAGCTCAGCACGGTGCTGCGCGAGTTCGACATCGAGGAGACCGGCACCGTGGAGGCTTTGCGGGTGCGGCTGGCAACGTTCGTGAAGTCGGCCCAAGAAGAGTACCGACCCCGCCTGGAAGAACTAGCGGCGTATTACGAGAACATGTCGTCGCGTACCGCGGCGACAGGTCAGTTGAGCCCGGTGCCCGGCGGACGGCTGGGAGTCCCGAAACAAGAGGACGTACCGGAGGGGCTGCTCGTCGTGACAGAGGCAAACACGACGCCGCTAACTCCTGCGACAGTGCCGACCATTTCGGTAGCGGTCGCGGCCTCGCCGGGAGCTACCACAACCGAGCCCACGGCAGCCTCAGCGACGCCAACAGTGGCTCCAGTGCTCTCAACGGCGGACCTGACACAAGCGATCGCCGATTCGGTGACAGTTGCGTTGGCTCGGTACACCCACCGGTTGGCCCAGGCTATGGAGGATGGGTTCCAGAAACTGTCGAGCCAGGTCTGCGCTTCCACCGCGCCTGCTGGTAATGCGCCTGACGAAGATGACCCAGCAGCACCGACTCCAGCGTCACCGCTCGCAAGCGCGCAGGCGGTGGCAGAACCACAGGCGCCAACATCAGCCGTGTCAACCGCATCCGCGGCTGGTTCGGCCCACTCGACAATGTCACGAGCGGAGCGGAGAGCCCTGAGCACGGAGGTGGCACAGTGGGGAGTACGTTTCGACGGCAGCGGGGACCCACGGGCATTCTTGCGCAGGCTAGAAGAGAAAGCGGAAGTGAGTGGGGAGCCGGTAGATAATTTGGTGCCGATGTTACCAAACATTCTGGAGGGCGCGGCACTGACGTGGGACCGCACAAGGCGAAGCCCGACCCAGTCGTGGGCAGAGTTCCGCGCGGAACTGCTAGAAGCGTACCCGGCCGCCCCTCACATTGAGCGGTGGCGACAGAATGCGCAACGACGCTTTCAGGGCGAGTCGGAGTCCACTGCGACCTACGTCCAAGCGATGCTGGAACTGATGCTCGATGCAGACATGCCCGGAGAGGAGCAGCTGAGGCTCATCTACCGCAACAGCCGACCAGCGATCAACATCAGGATACGGCATCAGGATGTCCATACTGTGGCCGAATTCAAACGGCAAGCAGCAGAGCTGGAGGAGTTGGGCCTGGTTCCGGCCTGTACCATTGGGGCAGGGCCATCCCAGCCAGCGTTCATGGGCCCACGGGGGCTTCCGATCCGACGTCCGGAGCCAACGGATACGCAGCCCATATCTGGTGGTGAGTTAAGCAGGCGAGACTTTGTCCCTTTACAGACGACACCCGCGCGACCAACAGCAACCGGGCCCGATATGCAGAGCTCGTCGATACACCAGGGGCGGTCTTGCAAACGCTGTGGTATGGCGGGGCACGACAACGAATGCTGCCCAAACCAACGACAACTATACTGCTGGGATTGCGGTAGGCTGGGCATACGAGCGAACGAATGCTGCCGACGCGCGACGGGAAACGCCAGGGGGGGCTCGTCCCACATCAACAGTCGGCGAGCCCACGCAGGCAGATTCCAATTAACAACGACACGCAGGGTAGCGGCCGCGCTACCAGTGGACTGCGATGGTGTACTGGTAGAGGCGGTCGTGGACACCGGAGCGACACGCAGCTTCGCGAGTCCGAGGCTGGCGCAACGCCTGCGGGCGCCAGACGGAGGAAATGTACGGTCCGTGAGCGTGACTGTGTCCATGGCTGACGGGACACAGAAGACGGTCCGTGAAGAAACGAAGGCGACGGTCACGGTGGGCGACAGTCGCGTAGTACTGCCGCTGCTCACACTCCCCGGATGCATAGATGAGCTCACATTGGGACTGGATTATGTCCAAATGGCCAACGGGGCGGTGACTGTGGGCGGCCAAACTGTAGAATTGCGAACAAACGATCCACGGCCACGCAGACGGCGGAGGCGAAATCGCAGAGCCCGACATGCAGCCTTGGTGACAAGCGAGGATCAGGCACGCCAGTACAATCTGCGGAGACGCGAGTGGCGACCCAGACTGGGCGACGAGGTGCTCGTGCGACAACATCACCTGTCCAACGCAGCCGAGCAGTTTGCGGCCAAGCTGGCGCCTCGCTTCGATGGCCCATTCACGGTACGAGCATTCATATCCCCAGTTATAGTGCGTGTGCGACCGGTGGCGGGCGGCAGAGGTAGAACGGCACATGTACGGGATCTAAAAGCGGTGAACGCAGAAGACAGCGAAGCCGACGAAGGCAGCGACGACAGAGGCAGCGTTGGTATGGTCACCAGGGCCACGCCACCGACAGCTTCACAGCAGCCACAGCAGGCCACTCCTCAGCGTCAACAAAAGCAGCCACAGCGGCAGTCCGGGCATCAAAATCGGCCATATCAACGAGCACGACGACAGCAGCCACGGGCACGACAGCAGCAACAGCAACCAGGGCTTCGTAGCAGCCACACCGACAACAGCAACGGCAACACCACCGGCGTCCACCAAAGCGGGAACAGCAAAGCTGCTGTTCTAGCCGAAGAAGATGCCCATGTAAGCCTACAAACATAATTAAACGCAGTTTGCTGTTACGTTTCAGGCCATGTGAAGCGATGTAGATTACCGCACCGCCTGAGATACACACTCAGCGCCGAATATACCAGAGACGCAGCAGATGGGCGGTATGCTAACTCCATTGGCGATCCCTAAACAGCTACGGCAACAGCAGCCAGTCCCACAGCCGCCACTACAGCACCCAGTACAGAATCCAGAGGATGACGACACGTCAGCACCACGCGGCGGAAATGCAGAAAACAACAATGCGACCGAATGAACGAACAGCTGACGGTGAAGGTACAGGTGGCGTTGACAGGTGGCCAAGCGCGAGGGGTGGCAGCGCTGCCACCCAGCTGCTACACATCTGCCGTTCGATTATGGCGCGGTGAAGGAAAATTCGAAAACACTACCGATCGGGCCGTTCGACCCCTTGGGGAAAGGGGGAGGTGTAACGACGCGTTGCGCAGCAACCAGCCGCGCGTCATTACGAGTAGTTATAAGTACAAGTAATTATAAGAAGAGTAAGCCATGAAGGCAAGTAATTGTAAATTCGTTTTAAGTTAGTTCACTTCTGGCTCTCTTCTGGCTCAGGCCCAACGCGCACTGAAGCGCTCTGTATGTTGTTTTACAAGTAAAGAAACACGTGGAGAAGTTTGGGCATACCGCCCTCTTTTATTTGGTGGACACCTCGGCACTTTGGGGTGCCTAATTTATTTCAGCATACTCTGGCCGGCGAGCATACCCGCGGCAGAGTAACAACGTTACAATATGGCTATAACTTCATGTTAAATCGGCCTATCATTATGAAACTTTGTACATTTCATGTACAGAGTATAAAGATTATTTAAACGCAGATTTATAGCGTGTTACCAGCATTTCTTCTTTTAACAAAACAAAATTGCATGATAGTGCACTCAAGAATAAGGTCACATCTTATTTTTCGCAGTTCCAAGTTTTCGGGATAATTGGCAACAAAGCCAATTTCGTGCATCCTAAGTAAAACAAGAAAAGAATGTTAAAGCCGAACAGGCTCAACTTAAAAAAAAGAAACAAATTAAAAAAAATATTTTAAAACTTAATTTAAAAAAATTAAATGTATTAATTAAATAAATAAAATTAAATAAAAAATTAAATCAAAGCAACAACAGCAGCTGCGATCTTGAGCAGAGATTGTATTTATGGCTATAGCTTTCTTCATAATTGACCTATCATGGTGAAACATAACATACGGACACATAATCACTAATATCACTAATTATTCAAGTTCATTATACCCTGTACCCAAAAGGGTACAAGGGTATATTAGTTTTGTGCGAGTGCACATGGAACACACAGAAGGAGGCTTGGTAGACCCCACAAAGTATATATATTCTTGATCAGCATGACAAGCCGAGTCGATATAGCCATGTCCGTCTGTCCGTCTGTCTGTCCGTCTGTCTGTCCGTCTGTCCGTCTGTCTGTCTGTATGAACGCAAGGATCTCCGAAAGTATAAGAGCTAGAATAACCAAACTTGGTATACAGATTCTCCTGAGACCGAGAAAGGACGAGTTTGTTCATTTTTTCTGATCCACCCCCCCACTCCCCCCCTATTAACGATTTTCTATAACTCCCGTAATTCTTGGAATTTTGAACTAAAATTTGGTAGTCACATTAGGTTAGTTATTATATAACCGTATACCAAGTCTCATTATGATAGAATGATCGGAAAGAAAGTTATAGCCATATAACCAGGCCCAATGCACACATACATACATATGTACAAGTACACAAACACGCATAAGGCACGATTCTGATGTAAATGTAAATGTATGTATGCATGCATGGAATATTTTATATTTAATTTAGTTAATTAATTAAATTAATTTAGTTAATTAATTAAATTTAATTAATTAATTAATTTAATTACTTTTTTGTGGGGTGGTACAGGGTATTTAAGAGTTGAGCCTGCTCGACTTTAGCATTCCTTTCTTGTTTTAAAATTCAAAGAATTATGGCCGTTGCGAAAGATTGCTAATAGCGGGGGAGTGGGGGTGCATCAGAAAAAATTAACAAACCAAATTTTGAAATAAACTTTTACTGCCTTCACATACTTACTATATACATATATACTATATAAGTACTATCTTAGAAGTTGTATTTTCTGTGACTTTCACAAATACATATGTAGTACATATTTAGCTGTTTTTTGAACCTCTTCATTTACAAATGCAATTTTTTGTGTTGATTTTCAGAGCTGGATAATATGTGGAATGAGCATCGCTAAAATCTAATATGAAGATTAAACAATATGCCGCAACTACGAAAAGAAAAAAAGTTATTTTATGTCATTGGATTACACTGATCTGTTCTTTTGGGCTATTTCAAGAAATATATTCTAAGCATGGCGAGACTAGAGGTGCATCATCTGTGCCACAATCACATTCCGAAAGTAACCTTCGATTCAATCAAAATGTATACAATGTTACTATACCAGAAAACAGCCTTGGAAAGACATACGCTAAAGCGATATTACACGAGGACCTGCCCAGGATAGCAGTCGGCTCAAATTGCGACGTTAAATTTAGAATAATAAGTGGCGATAAAGACAAGCTGTTTAAAGCTGAAGAAAGACTTGTCTCAAATTTTGCCTTCCTAACTATTCGTACACGAACTAGTAACATAGTGTTAAATAGAGAAAAAACCGAAGAATATATTTTAAAAGTTAGAGCGCTCATTAATTATTCCCACGGCAAAAATGTCTCGAGCTATGAAACGGAAACAACAGTTCACGTTCAAGTATTAGATCGAAATGATTTAAGTCCGCTCTTTTATCCAACTGAGTACACAGTAAGCATTCCAGAAGATACGCCAAAACATCAAAGTATTCTAAAAGTAGCTGCTGAAGATGCTGATCTAGGTGTAAATGGTGAAATATACTACAGCTTTTTGATGGACAGCGAATACTTTGCTATCCACCCGACAACTGGAGATATAAGTGTTATGAGACAGCCTCGGTATGCAGAAAATTCGCGATTCGATCTTATTGTTTTGGCCAATGACAGGGGCTCCGCAATGAGTCATCACAGCCATCAGGCCAGTAAAGCAAAAGTTTCAATAATTATAAAACAGGTAAGAAGAGACGTTTTTTTTAAATCATATATGAACTTCACTTTTGTGATAATATTTATAGATCATAATTATTGTTGAATATAATAATTTATTTCTTAGGTAAACTTCTACACACCTGAAATCTATGCAAGGACTTTTTCGAGCATAACACCATCCCATTCTGGCCCATTAATTTATGGAATTGTCAAAGTCAACGATAAAGATAGTGGACTAAATGGAGAGATTAAAAAGTTGGAAATACTCGATGGAAATCCAGATGGTACTTTTCACTTAAGAGCTACTGAGAAAGAAGATGAGTATTATATTGAACTGAATAAGTTCGCAAAGTTAAATCAACAACAGCATTTCATATACAATTTGACACTGCGTGCTGAAGATCGAGGTGTACCTTCTCGAATTACCTACAAAACGGTTCCAATTCAAATAATACCAGAAAGTAAAAGTACACCAATATTTACTCAGCAAATCTATGATGTTTCAATACCAGAAACAGCGCCTCCTAATATGCCAGTAATAAGGCTGAAAGTCAGTGATCCTGATTTGGGTAAAAATGCCGTTGTGTTTTTGGAGATAGTAGGCGGAAATGAAGGAGGTGAGTTCCGTCTGAATCCAGATTCGGGTATGCTATACACACAAAAACCATTGGACGCAGAAAGAAAATCGCAGTACACTCTAACCGTATCTGCAATTGACCAAGCTAATGTTGGATCAAGAAAGCAATCCTCAGCTAAAGTTAAAATTACCATCCAGGACATGAATGATAATGATCCAATATTTGAAAACTCAAATAAGAACATATTCATCAATGAGAACGAAATGGCTGGCTCTTTTGTTGCAAAAGTGTCGGCTAAGGACAAAGATTCTGGTGAAAACGCATACATATCCTACAGCATAGCAAACCTCAACGAAGTCCCATTTGAAATTGATCATTTTTCTGGCGTGATAAAAACGACATCCTTAATTGATTATGAAACAATGCAAAGAAACTATGCGTTAGTAATACGTGCCTCAGATTGGGGACTTCCATACAGGCGACAGACTGAAACCGAACTCAATATTATTGTCAAAGACATTAACGATAATAGGCCACAGTTTGAGCGCTTAAACTGTTATGGGAAAGTGCTTAAAACTGCTCCAATTGGATCTGAAGTTTTTACAGTTTCCGCTATTGATTTTGATGCTGGCGACGTTATATCTTACCGCCCTGTATCTGGAAATGAAGATGGCTGTTTTAGTCTGGATCCGACGACGGGAACAATTTCAATCGGATGTGACCTAATGGACGTTGCAGTAGATGACCGTGTGATAAAAATAACTGCCACAGATGGTACCCACTTTTCAGATGAACTAAGTATCAATGTTCATCTAATGGTGGATAACTTAAGTGAACATACCGACATCTTGTCCGGCTTCGGCGCCTTTGAGTGCCGTGAAACCGGAGTGGCCAGAAGACTTGCCGAGAATTCAGCATTAGCTGAAAAAAATAATGCAAAAACCGTTTCGTTCGCTGTGATAAGTGACTTAGCGCTAACCCCCAGCAGATATGGGCAAAATGTACACAAGCCAGAGTTTATAAATTTTCCTCTGGAGCTCTCTTTAAACGAAAGTGTTCCATTAGGAGCTGCAGTGGCCTGGATTGAAGCTCGTGATAGGGACTTGGGTTATAATGGCAAACTGGTGTACGCAATTTCTGATGGAGACTCGGATTCAGTTTTTCGTATTGACCCTGACAATGGTGAGCTCCAGATAATTGGATACTTGGACAGAGAACGGCAAAATGAGTATGTTTTAAACATAACTGTTTACGATCTTGGCCAACCCAAAAAGCACGACTCCAAAATGCTGCCAATAACAATACTAGATGCAAATGACAATCCACCAGTTATACAGAAGTCATTAGCAACGTTTCGACTCGCAGAAAGTGCTCTGAATGGCACTGTTATATACTGCTTGAACGCAACAGATGCCGATGAGGGTGCTAATGCGGAGATAACTTTCAGTTTCGTCGTCGAATGTTGCGATTTCGCAGTGAATAAAACAACTGGTTGTATTCTTTTGAGTAGTCCCCTTGACCGAGAGAAACAGGATAGATATGAATTACATATTGTTGTAAAAGATAGCGGAAGTCCAGTTTTATCAGCAGAGGCCGTGGTATATGTTCTAGTCGACGACGTTAATGACAATGCTCCTATTTTTGGGGTTCAAGAATATACCTTTAAAGTGAGAGAAGATGTGCCTCGCGGAACTGTAGTAGCTGTGGTTGAGGCAACTGATATTGATATTGGACCCAATGCAGACATTTTATTTTCACTGAAAGAAGATACGCAGGAACAAAGTCTATTTAAAATCGATAAATACTCTGGAGCAATTCGAACCCAGGGATATTTAAATTACGAAAATCGACAAGTGCACAATCTCATTGTGAGTGCTATCGACTGTGGCGTTCCATCGTTAACCTCCGACATGCCCATAGTTGTCGAAATTATTGATGTTAACGAAAACAGATTCGCTCCAGAATTTGATGACTTTATTTTCGAAGGACAAATTGAAGAGAACCGACCAAAAGGCACCATTGTACTAAACATTACTGCCAGAGACATGGATGGAATTGACCACGACGCAAAAGTATCGTATTCCATTATTGGAGGCGATGGAATTGGAATTTTTTCCGTTAATGACCAAGGTGATTATTCAAAAAACCAAATATTAGATCTATTGATATATCAAAGTAATTTTAGGTTCAATTCGTTCACTATCCCAACTTGATGCGGAAACAAAAAATTCCTACTGGTTAACTCTATGTGCTCAAGATTCCGCTATTGTTCCCTTAAGCAATTGTGTTGAGGTAAACCATTTGAAATAAATCAATGTCTTTCTTTATTTTAAATCTTCTAACATTCTTCCAAACAACCCTTGTAGGTATATATCGAGGTTAAAAATGTGAATGACAATATACCATTGACGGATAAACCAGTTTATTATGTAAACGTTACGGAGGGCAATTCAGAAAAACTTGATATAATAAAACTTAACGCAATTGATAGAGACAATGATCCCAACCAATCAATAACATTTAATATTATCTCAGGCAATCCTGAAGGATACTTCGAAATAAATTATTTAACAGGTAAAAAATATCATATTATACTTCTTATGGCCACATGAGCTTGAGAAATCTCATTCTCTCTCTCTCTCTCTCTCTCTCTCTGGGCTTTGTTGCAATACCTATTGCGTATTTTTCAGGCGTTCTTAGTACAACAGAAAGGAAACTTGATAGAGAAAATCAAGCTGAACATATTTTGGAGGTGAGTGAGATAACACTTATATAACAGCATAATACTATACTAAATACACACTACAGAGTATACAAATGTGGAAGAGGGCTTTAATAAATATAGTTACATACTCTCTTTAGGTATATATATCTGATAATGGAATGCCAGTATTGTCATCGACTACACGAGTTGTGGTTTCCGTAATGGATGTGAATGATCATAGTCCTGAGTTTGATCAACGTTTCTATAAAGTACAAGTTCCTTCAACGGCATTGGTCAATGAGTCGATTTTTCAGGCAAGTCATTACATTAAGCTTTTAAAACCTATCCCATTATGACTTAATTTTTTTAAAATTACAAAACAAACGTATTAATGCCTTTTTAGGTTCATGCATTTGACAACGACGAGGGCGAAAATGGGCGAATCACATACTCAATTAAATCTGGAAAAGGCAAAAATAAATTTCGTATCGATGGCGCAAGTGGTCATATTTTCATTACAAAGGCATTAGAAGCTGATGCTGAATTTGAAATAAATATTAAAGCCGAGGATAATGGAGTGCCCAAAAAAAGTCAAACCACCCGAGTGAACGTGGTTGTTATTCCGATCGTTCCCAATTCCCCGAATGCTCCCGTAATAGCGAAGAAGTCAACTGATAATGTAGTCGACGTCACGGAAAGTGATAGGCCTGGATTCTTGGTATCACTAATACAAGCCATGGATGAGGATAATGACCAGCTGTGGTACAACATCAGCAGTAAGTATAAGAGAATAATTACCTTTTTGGAAACCTACAAATATTTAAAACAATTTTCCATAATTCTCATTTAGGTGGAGATGATCGAAATGAGTTCTATATAGGCCGAGATAATGGCAATGTTCTTCTATCAAAATTTTTGGATTATGAGACAAAAACGTTTTATAATCTAACCATCAGTGTTACCGATGGAACACACGTGGTGCAAACAAGCCTTTTTATAAAAGTTGTTGATACAAATGATAACACTCCGCAGTTTACAAAAGATGTGTACCACGTAAATATATCGGAAAACATTGAAGAAGAGTCAGTTATAATGCAATTACATGCAACTGATAAAGATGAGGATAAGAAACTGTTTTACCACTTGCATGCAGCCCAAGATCCGTCTTCCCTAGCCTTGTTTCGCATTGATTCGATAAGTGGAAGCGTAATAGTGACCCAAAGGCTTGATTTCGAGAAAACTTCCCAACATATTCTCATTGTTGTTGTAAAAGATCAAGGAACGCCAGCGAAAAGGAATTATGCAAAGATTATAATAAACGTACATGATCACAATGACCACTACCCCGAATTCACTGCAAAAATTATTCAAAGTAAAGTGCCAGAAAGTGCAGCAGTGGGCTCTAAACTTGTGCAAGTAATGGCTATTGATCGTGATAGTGGTCTAAACGCAGAACTTCGATACTCCATAATAAGTGGAAACGTGGGGAGTATTTTTGAAATAGATCCCGCATTTGGTACCATTTCTTTAGCGGCTAGTTTGGATATCAATAAAATGCAGGAGTACATGCTTCAAATTAAAGCAACAGATCTTGGCCAGCCGCCGCTATCATCACAAGTACCTGTGCACATAATTATTACCATGTCTGAAAACGATCCTCCCAAGTTCTTTTCGAACTCCGTTTCACTTGAAATATTTGAGAACTTGCCCGTTGGGACATTTGTAACGCAAGTTGAGACAAGATCATCGTCGTCAGTCTTCTTTGCTATTATTGATGGTAATGTCAACGACAGCTTTCGAATAAATCCTTCGACAGGAGTTATTGTGATCAACACGAACATCGACTACGAAACAAACAAGTAATTGAAAGCAAATCAATTTTATTTGAAATTGAAACTAAATAATCCGTCTTCGAATTTAGGCTTTTTAACTTAACCATCAGGGGAACTAATATGGCTGCTGCATCATCACAGCAGAATGTTTTAGTACATATTTTAGATGCCAACGATAATGCTCCCTTTTTCCTTCAAAATGAATATGTGGGAACTATAGTGGAGTCAGCCGATGTTGGGTCTTATGTGCAAAATAGTGATACCTCAAAGAATAGGTAATATTTACAGAAGATTTTATTGCGTTTTTGAAATATAACATAATATTATTGTCTTCGTTTTAGTCGCCTTGTTTTAAATGTCTCAGATGCTGACGTCGGCTTGAACGGAATGGTGCAATATTATATCAATGACGACTTGGCTAAGAATGTATTTAAAATTGATTCTACGACAGGAACTATCCAAACCTTAACTAATGTTGACTATGAAAAGGCAAAAAACTATACATTTTTCGTAATGGTAAGTTTATCCACGGCCTATGTATACAATTTCTTATAAACATCTAAATATATTTTTTTTTTTGTTGTAGGTTAGTGATTTGGGCAAGCCAAAGTTGCACTCAAGTACGAAAGCTCGTGTGATCATACATGTAAGAAATGTGAACGACTGTCCACCAGTATTTAGGGAAAAGGAAATTAATAAAACGCTCTTCGTGCCAACATTTGAAAATGTTTTCATTACTCAAGTCGTTGCGTCGGATGCCGATAACGATGAGAGTACTCCTTTACGTTATGATATTGTCGATGGAAATGCTCATGAATGTTTTCAAATCAATCAATTGACAGGAGATCTAACCACAAGGTATTTTCTCGTACATACAAAATTAATTAAACTTTGTATATTGAGCGTAATTTTTTTTAGGGCTAACGAAATTACGAATTCAGAATACAACCTGCACATTAGGGCTTCTGATGGCTTATACTCGGCAATTTTGTTATTAAACATCCACATTGAGTCTGCAGTGGACGCTCAGTTTGTGTTTCAAAAAACCAAATATGAGTTTTCGACATTGGAGAACACCACCAAAATTTCAACTGTTGGACTGACAAATGTCGTTGGAAATACCTTGAATGAAAATGTGGAATACAGAATTCTGAATCCAACGAAAATGTTTGCAATTGGAATTAGCTCTGGAGCCATTAAGACCACTGGAGAAATGTTTGATAGAGAGCAACAAGAAGCACACATACTCTTCGTCGAAGCAAAATCGGCCATGTACGATGGAAACAGTCAACATGTGCGTCGAGCTATAACTTCAGTCCATGTTTCTGTGCTCGATGTAAATGACAATTGTCCACTCTTTGTTAACTTGCCATACTATGCTACAGTGTCGGTCGATGATCCGAAGGGAACCACCATTATGCAGATAAAAGCCATTGACCTGGACAGTGCTGAAAACGGAGAAGTACGATATGAGCTCAAGAAAGGAAACGGAGAACTGTTTAAAATAGATCGAAAAAGCGGCGAATTGTCTCTTAAGCAAAATGTTGAGGGTCACAATCGTAATTATGACTTGACTGTTGCTGCATACGATGGCGCATTAACTCCGTGTTCGTCAGAAGTGCCAGTTCATGTGAAAGTAGGTTATGGCTTATGCCTTATTTTATTTTAATCTAATCTCTGTTTTTATATGTAGGTAATTGATCGATCTATGCCTATATTTGAGAAACAATTTTATTCGGTCAGCGTCAAGGAAGATATTGAAATGTATTCCGCCTTGTTTGTATCCATTCAAGCCGAAAGTCCTTTGGGTAGAAAACTTATCTACACATTGTCATCGGGAAATGCAAACCAATACTTCGAAATCGATTACAGAACAGGTATCTATCATTCATACAAAAGCCTTTTATGTTTTTTTGTAATGAATTCACATCCATCCTTTAGGTTCCTTGTACGTGGTAAATGAGCTAAATTATGAGGACATGAAAACTCATGAGGTTTCCATTCGTGCTACTGATAGCGTCTCAGGAATTTTCGCAGAAGTGATCTTGACTATAATAGTAACCGATGTTAATGACTGTTATCCAGAAATCGAAAGCGATAATTACAATATCACATTAACCGAAAATACACCGTTTGGCTCCCAAATTTTAAAAATAAACGCATCGGACTTGGACAGTGGTGCGAATGCAGAGCTCTCTTATTTCATCGAATCGATCAATGGCCAAAAGAATCTGGATACTTTTTATATTGACATTTCCGAAGGTTATTTGTATTTGAAAACTCCACTGGACTACGAAGTATTAAGATATCACCATGTTATTGTGGTTGTCAAAGATCATGGCTCACCTGCACTGAGTTCAAAGGCGAATATCTTCATAAAAGGTAAATATATATTTGTTCGATTTAATTTGATTTATTTGTTGTTAATTTAAGACACAATGCTTAATTTTATTGTTCGAAAAACGTTTATAATTGTTCTGCAGTGAAAGATCTTAACGACAACTCACCACGCTTCGTCGAACCCTCCTTCTTCAGTAAGCTGTCTGTGGCTGCTACACGGGGACAATTTGTGGCTTTAGCTAAAGCATATGACGTGGACATGTCAGATGCTGAATATCTAGAATACAAAATTGTCGATGGCAATGATCTACAAACATATAGCATTGGAAAAAAGAGCGGAATAATATCTCTTCAAAACATGCTGAACTTTACCGATAAAACCAGCACTCTCTTAAACATATCAAGCTCGGATGGGATGCATACCACTTATGCCCGTTTAAAAATAACATTGGTTCCAGAAAATTTGCACAGTCCCGAATTCGAAAAACAAGGATATGAAGCAACCATTTTCGAAAACCAATCGCCAGGCCAAGAAATAATCACGGTATTTATCTTAAAGTGTTATTGGGTTGAAACGTTTAAAAGCAACCAGTTTAATTGCAGGTGAGGGCAACCGACGATGACTTTGGGAACTATGCAAGCCTTTATTATGAAATAGCCTCAGAAGAGATGAAAAAGTTCTTTGACATCAATCGAAGCACAGGCTCCATATCTTCGAAAGTAACATTCGATCGTGAAAGCAGATCAGAATACGAGGTCTTACTAAAGGCTATTGACGGGGGCTCTAAATTTGGATTTGCATTACTCCGTGTACTAATTGATGACATCAATGACAATAGTCCATATTTTCCTATAAAGGAATACAAAATAGTAATAAATACATCAACACAAATCAACGACACCATTTTAACTGTAAGTAATGTACAAGTATATACATATACAATAAGTATAAAGAACAAGTTACTAGTTATGTAATTCTCTAGCAAATAATGTTACTTCGTGTCTTAGCGTCTTCATCTATTTATCATGAATAATTACTGTATTATTTTCAGGTAAAAGCTGTGGATAATGATTATAATGAAAATGGGCTGGTAAAATACATAGTCGAACCTAATTCATTGAAATCGAGCTTAAAAGAGACATTTAACATTAACGAAAAAACCGGGGAAATCACCGTGAAGAACCGTATTGACAAATCAGGGGAGAAAATATTTCAATTTTTTGTACGAGCTTTTGATTCAGGAGAGCCTCAATTATACAGTGATGTTCCAGTGACTATTGAAGTAATCGAATTAGATGCAATTATTCCGACCTTTGAAAAGACTTCGATCAATCTTCACATAATTGAATCAACTTCGCCAGGAACTGTGCTGACAAAACTACAAATTCTTGGAAATTATACGTATAAGTTTTCTGTCGCTACAGATACGCCAAACTTTTTTGCTTCAGAAAACGGAGAGCTTATCCTTATGCAAACCTTAGACAGGGAACAAAAAGATACACATTTCCTAGTGGTTGTGGCTGAAACATCGACAGTTCCTATTCTTTATGCGTATATGGATGTTTTAGTAATTGTCAAGGATGAGAACGATAACTATCCAAAGTTTGATAGTGCCATGTATAGTGCGGAACTGGCAGAAAACATTGATAAAGTGGTCTCCATTATCAAGATAACGGCAACTGATGCCGACGCTGGATCAAATGGTGACGTAAGATACTCCTTCGAAGATGAATCGGATATTATAAAATCTATATTCGATATTGACATCTATACCGGCTGGATCACACTTCGTTTATCTGTAGATAGAGAGGCACAATCTGAGTTTAATTTAAAAGTTATTGCTACTGACAACGGCCACCCGAAGCATGTCTCCAAGGTACCAGTGTCCATCAAAATAGTGGACTACAATGACAACCCTCCTGTTTTTAAAATACATACCAATAAGATTTCCGTTTTTGAAAATGCTTTACCCGGTACTGTTTTGAACAATTTTTTGCTTATTGACCCCGATACTGAAAAGCAAGATATGGACTTTTATATCACTTCCGGAGATAGTCAATCACAATTTCAAATTAGCAAGACGGGTGAATTGTTTATTGCTAGACCTCTAGATAGGGAGCAAATCTCGTTCTACAACTTAAGCCTACTTGCAACCGATGGAAAATTTACTGCCGACGCAAATATCGAAATACAAGTAAAGGATATCAATGACAATATGCCCTTATGCCTAAAGCCCCGATATAAGATCGAAATAAATGAGTCGACACCCATTGGAACTACACTTGTACAAATTCACGCTGTTGACTATGACTCGAGTAATGATTTTAAACTGCGGTATTATATTTCCGGTAAAGGTTCAGATGATTTTGTTATTGGAAAAGATAGTGGGATTTTAAAAGTGGCAAAACTGATCGACCGAGAGGCAATTCCGAGATATAAGTTGACTGCGCATGTTCAGGATGGGCAAGAACTAATGCGCGAGTGCGTTTCTGAAATATTAATAACAATCAATGATGTTAATGACAATGCTCCCACATTTTCAATGGCTCAGTATATCGTTAGTATCCCTGAAGATGCGCAACTCCAGACTCTGATTACAAAAGTACATGCAACGGACAAGGATTTTGGCATGAACAGAAAAATTAAGTACTCTCTAATGGGCTCCGATATCGAATATTTCGAGATCTCAAAATCCACGGGCATCATAAAACTGGAAAAGAATCTTGATCGAGAAACAAAGTCGTTATTTAACTTGACTGTCAAAGCCGAAGATTTCGGCAAGCCCAAGCTGTATTCGTTATCGCATTTAATAATAAATGTATTGGATATCAATGACAACCCTCCGGAGTTCAGTAGACGGCAATACTTTTGTGAAGTCCAAGAAAATGAAACAATCGGCTATGAAGTGTCCCAAGTGCATGCAACATCAAAAGACATCGGCGTAAATGCTGAAATCCTATACTACATAATGGGTGGCAACGAGCAGCGTAAATTTATGATGAATTCCACCTCAGGTGTATTATCTGTTAATGGTTCATTGGATTACGAAAAGACGAAAGCATATTTCCTTACAGTACAGGCAATCGATGGAGGCACACCGCCTTTAAGTAACATAGCCTATGTTAATATATCTGTATTGGACGTTAACGACAACAGCCCCAAATTTTTACAAAACATTTATCGAGTAAGCGTGAAGGAAGACGTTTCGATTGGAGAAAAAGTTGCAGATGTAAAGGCCGTAGATGAAGATACAAATTTAAATGGAATTGTGGTATATAACATTGAAAGGGGCGATAAATTAAGTCAATTTTTCATTGATAAGAACAATGGTACCATACGCCTTGCAAGAGCAATTGATCGAGAGACAATTTCAGAATATGCACTAGAAATTCAAGCTTGTGATCGTGGAATTCCTGAACGTTGTAGCAGTGTTCTGGTCAATATTGATGTTTTGGATACAAATGATAACGCTCCACTCTTCTCCAGCACCAATTACAGCATTGTACTGCAGGAAAATAGACCATTGGGCTATGTTCTGGTCAAATTTGAAGTATCAGACGCTGACATGCCGCCGAACTCTACACCATATACATACGACATTCGATCTGGAAATGAAGGTGCACTGTTTCGGCTGGAGCAAGATGGTTCCCTCAGCACAGCATCGCGCTTTAATCACAAATTGAGGGATGAATTCGTTATACAGGTACGCGTATTCGATAATGGTACGCCGCCACTTTACTCAGACACTTGGGTGACAATTAAGATAATTGAGGAAAGTCAATACCCTCCCAATGCCACTCCATTAGATGTTACCATTAATTCATTTGAAGATGCCTTTTCGGGGGCTTTCATAGGGAAGGTCTATGCATCTGATTTGGATCAGTACGATGAGCTTACTTACAGTTTGATGGCCACAAACGGAGAGACATATCAAGCTACGAAACTTTTTAACATTACGAGTAAAACAGGAAAGATATGTGCTACAACTAATCTTGATATTGGGCTGTATAAGCTAAACGTTTCGGTCAGTGATGGAAAATTTACTGTGTTCACTTCTGTAAAGATTAATGTCGAGCTAATAACGATGGATATGGTAAAAGAAGCAGCAGTGATCAAGTTCAGCAAAATCACGGCATCAGACTTTTTGTTAAGCCACAGAAAAGGTTTCTTACGCTCCATTCGAAGTATTATGCACTGTCGTCTGAAGGATGTAATACTGCTAACATTACAAGCCGAATCAAGCACGAACCTCTCAAAACGGCACAGAAGATCATCCAGCAACAATTTAAACGTTGTGTTTGCTGTAAGAAAGCAACAGATAATACCAAATTCGGATGCTTACTTCACCAGTGATGAGATTCGCCAATCAGTTATCAGTAAAATCAATGAAATCGAAGATGAAATGAACGTCGTCATTGAAGAAATCCTGCCAACCATTTGTCAAGGCCAGCAAAATACTTGTGTTCATGGGGTATGCAAGAAAATACTAACCCTCGCAAAGAACAACATTACTACGATCTATACAGATGTGATAAGCTTTGCCTCCCCCCGATATAGCGTTGCCAACAAATGTTTCTGCAAGCCAGGCTACGATGGCAAGAACTGCAGCGAATCGGTGAATGCATGCTCATCCGATCCCTGTCCACCGCAAAGGAATTGCTTACCATCCGAGTCTGATCCTGGCTATCAATGTGTGTGTCCAAAAGGCTTCTCTGGCCCATTTTGTGAAATGAAATCAACAAAATGCTACAACGAAAGCTGTGATACAAGCTCCTCGACGGCTGTTTCTTTCGGCGGGAAAAGCTACGCCCACTACAAAATCAACAAGGCCATGGCAAAGAACACGTTAGAAAACCAATTTGCATTCTCCCTTCAAATAAGGACAGTGCAGCAAACTGGTACGTTGCTGTATGCCAGTGGGAAAATTGATTACAACGTCTTGGAAATTGTAAATGGAGCAGTGCAATACCGTTTTGACTTGGGATCAGGCGAAGGAGTAATTAGCGTGTCGAGCATCTATATTTCCGATGGAGAGTGGCATTCGATCAGTCTGGAACGAATTCTAAATAGTGCCAAAGTAGTTGTAGATAACAAACATGTCTCTCAAGGGAGTGCCCCAGGGGTCAATGGAATACTGAATATTCAATCAAACGATGTGTTTGTTGGAGCTGAAGTTCGACCCCATCCCTCCATAATTGGCTACGAAGATATTCAACGAGGTTTTATTGGATGTATGGCCAACATTAAGATCGCAATGGAGTCCTTGCCATTATATATCTCAGGTGGAAGCACGATAGCTGCTCTAAAGAGGTTCACAAATGTGGAGTTCAGATGTGATCCGGCAAATGTTCTTGTGAATCTAGGTGTTTGTGGAGCGCAACCCTGTCTAAATCGTGGCATTTGCAAGGACCATGGCAATGATATGTTCAAGTGTATGTGCCATGCGCGATTCACCGGCGAGTTGTGCGAAATCGACTTGGATCCCTGCTCTTCAGCACCGTGTTTATTCGGAGGACGCTGTGAATACCTAGGACCAAACAATTATACCTGTAGTTGCCCCCCACATTTGTCGGGCAAACGGTGTGAATATGGAAAATTCTGCAGTCCGAACCCATGCCAAAATGGAGGAATTTGTGAAGAAGGAGACGGTGTATCGCATTGCATGTGTCGTGGTTACACGGGTCCAAACTGTGAGATTGATGTAAATGAGTGCGAAAATCAGCCTTGTGGAAACGGAGCTACTTGCATCAATGAAGCGGGTAGTTTTCGATGCATTTGCCCAGCATATCTTACGGGTGCTAGCTGTGGGGATCCACTTTATTCGAATTCCATTTCAACGAAATTAAAGAACTTTTCGATTGAACACATAAGCGGCATAATATCGGGAATAACAATTGTGCTCTTCGTCGTCATTATTGCACTCTGCTGCGTGGTCTGTAAAAGGGGCTCGTCCACGAATCCGCGAAATCGAATAGCTAAGGAGAAAAACAAACATTCCTATAGAGAATCTAATCTGAATTCGCTTTTGGACAAAGACAAGTGTTGCAAGGCGAACGTTAAGATCAGCAACTTGGAAGTAAATCAACGGCCCATAAGCTACACACCAGCCACAAATGATAGCCTATTTCCGAGCAACACAACATTTGTGAATAACTTGGACATTTTACGAAGCTATGGATCTGCCGGCGAAGAGCTCGAAAATATACCGTTTGAGTATCAGAAAGTAAACCGTAATAACCAACATGTGAATATAAATGCCTGCAACTTGGTTGAAACGGATAGCAGTGCATATAAAGAGGACTGGTGCGAACAGATGCATTTAAAAACTTTTAGTGAAAATAAATTAAATAATGGTGAGCATGCGAGACATTGTTTTATAGACTTTAGCTAAGCTAATTATGTATTTCCAGAGCGAAGAAAAGACTATGGATTTCCAATTAATCGATCAAGTGGGAAACTTATTCAGGTCGCTATGCCGAATGTGTGCCATTCCTCGCCAAGTGCAGCTTCCACAGATTACTCTGCGCTTGGTAATGGACAGTACCATTGGGACTGTTCAGATTGGGTTCGGAAAAGCCACAATCCATTACCGGATATAACTGAGGTTCCGGGGGCAGAAGTAGCTGACTCTTCGAGCTTCCACAGTAATGATAGTAATGAGTCCAGAACAAAACGAAACTGTTTCGTTCATAGTAAGTTTTTTTTCGTATACCTTTGTCTAATGGTTAAGAGCGAAAAGTGAACTGACAATTAACATTTTCAATTCTATAGGAGAAGTTGACCCGACTAGAGATATAGCTGCTCTGAATGAGGACATTGCATCCGAATATGTGGATTCCGAAATAGAAAGCTGTATTCAACCGTCGTTTATGGTACCGAACTCAAACTATGAATCACTTTCAAGACTGAGTTCTTTTAATAATAGCGAGAATGAAGACTACAAATTAAATACAGGTTTGTTTGCTTTCACATTGATTCCAATTACATAGTCACTAATTTGTACATAATATCAAATATATTTTCACGCATCAGTGCCTTTAAAATCAAAGTCAAATCGTTCGTGTAAGTTGTGAAAAAATCAACTCTATGTATAAAATTAACATTTGGCTTTTAAATAATAACTGTGTTTTTTGTTGGGTACCATATATTTTTATACCTATTGTAAATAATTGTTTTGTACCTAATAATTTTAAACATGCAAAGTATATTTACGACATCCTGATTCATATTTACCGACGATTCGTACTCCAAGTGAAACGGAAGGAGAGAGTTCTTCAAATGAATTGTCAAGATTGAAAACGGGACTATCAAGTAGAAGAACGATAAGTGGTAATATTCTCCACATCATTTATGTAAACCTTTTTCTTATTTAACGGTTTTATTTTTCAGAAAATTCAGAGGAGTCATATCTTTTTCATCATGCAGTCGGTGAAAATGGTTCAAATAGCAATATCTCTGTACGACTTTGCGAAATTGAGGATTCGGAACTTGAGGAATTTTTACCGCATCAAGACAAAAAAAATAATGAATGACATATTAATAGGGTAATACTTTAATTTTGGCAGCTATTATTTTGTTTCATTTTGTAAACATCGTTTGACTAATCATTATAATTATTTTTACAATGAATAAAAATATGTATTTCTAAGTACAATAATGAACGTCTTACTCTTTTAAGACAATCTGGATGGTTCTAGTTCCTAATATTCTTACATTCGAAATCTGTCATTTTTGTAGGAACTCCATGTTGATGCAATAGGCCCTTTGCCTTTGGTGTATAGGGCATAAATATTGAGTTATAAAGGTTTGTAGTCCAGAACGTAATTTTCATGTTTTCAATTCAGATTTGTGATAAAAATTTCTTTTAACATATGTACGCTGTTGACAGCTACTTGTAATTAACAACGACTAGAATTGAAGGGATTTTTCGACTCTCATAATAACTACAGTTGGTGTAACGGTACCTAATCACCACTTATCTCTTCTTTAACTATACCTTTTTATAAATATGTCGCAGTTTTAATATGAACAGCAACGTTTAATTATTAATTTCGATTTTTAAGTTGAGTTGTATGATTTTGCCGCGCCAGCTAATTAGCAACGTTTTCAAAAAAGGTTAAAATTTTTGCATTTTCGTTATATTTGGGAATCATGGGAATGGATGTACCCCGGCCATGCGTAAGGCAATTGTTGAGCTTTAGGACACTAGTATGTCCTATCAGGCAATATCAACAGAGCAAAGTTGCTAAAAAAGGATGGTTTTCAATGATGTTAAGCTTTTGCAAAAGTATGGAACAACAGAAAATATTCCACGCAAAAAGAGACCACGCTAAACATCGGAGCACAAGTTCAAATGGGTAATTTGGATCCTCGTAGGGGTATCAAAATGATGCAACAATATCTTAAGATGCGGTTGCTGGTCGTTTGCTTGAGGCTAGGGTCCATCGGCGAAACTTACGCATCACGCAAATGGTGACAATTGCGCAAAGACGAAGACGCTGAAATTTTTAACAAATGAAAATATTTAGTCCGGACTGATGAAATAATTATTAACCGACTTGGTCTTGATGGTAGAAAATATATGCGAAAATCAAAAATCTTAGTAAATCTTAATCCAAAGTGTGTGCAACTGTCGTCAAGTATGGTCGAGGCAAAATACAAATTTTAGAGTGTCTCTCATGGTCTCATATTCCGCATCGAGAGAATTGTGACTTGGGAGAGGTAAGTCGGTATATTGAGAGATATCTTAATAGCATAGGCGAATAAAAATATTACGGATGCTTAGGCCTATAAGCAAGATAATGACTCTAACATGCGACGCATCCAAAAAAACAATTTTTGGACACAAGTTTTATTGGGGTTCTTGAATGGCCATCGTGCAGTCCTGATCTAAATCACATTGAACATTTATGGAACGAGGTTAAAAAAGTGATTCCCCCAACAGAATGTAGCAAATTTGGACATGTCATTCAAAAAAATTAAGGATGGTATGGAATACCTGTGGAAAGATTCCTGCGCTTTATAATGTCCATGCATCTCCGATATACAGCTGTATTAAAGCACAAAGGCTTTCCCATCAAATATTAATGTTGTAAAATCTAAAACTATAATTTTATTCAATTTTCCTAAAGTTTTTTGTTTTTTTTTTTTGTACTAATCAAGTAAACGTTGTCTCATATATAGATTATGTGTACATTTTATGGATCACTTAAAAAAAATGGAGAAAAATGATGAAATCCTCAACCGGCACCATCGTTGTTAATTAGTTGTCAACAGCTGTACATATGTATATACACAAGGGCGTTCGCAGGGGAGGCAGGGGGCCCTAGCCGCCCCTAGGCAAATTTTCGCAATATAAAGGCGATCACAAATTCATTATAATGGCGCACTATTTCTTGGAATTTCGAACTACAATTTTGCAAATACCCCCAGTTAGTAATTAATTGTCCGTATCATCATGATAGACCAATTTAGCAGGAAGTTATAGCCATAAATATATTTGATACCCAACCGCTGCCCGCAGCTGTTGTTGATGCTGATGCTGATGCTTTGGTTGACAAAAAATTTTACTTTTTTTAATTTCTATAAATATTCTAAACATATGTACAGAGTATTTAAAAGTCGGGACACCCGACTTTATATTATTGTCTCAATAATGTTCTCAATCAAATATTCTAGAAAGTTCTCAGGCGTACTGCGGCAAACCTGATTGACTTTGAAATCAAAAAGAAATGAATCAAACTACATATGTCCTCAATCACCCTTCCCTTTCATGGGCAAATGAATTATTTCGAAAAGGTAAAATTTGCCGAATACGGGGAATTGTTAATGGATAAAATTCGGCATCATAAAATTTACAGTTCACCGCGGTGGAACGAATTCTTGGTGGACAATGGCCTTGGAAACGATTTTTTTGTTGGGTTTTGGCTCATCTGGCGCCTTCCACTCGGCACTTTCATCTAACCCTTCGTATGTATGTCTGAGATGCATTTCTGCAACATACTGCATAGACTCAATTATTTTAGAATGTATGCGCGAAATTTGCAAAGTTTCTATCTGATGTAGTTCTACTCATTGTATTTTAAGTGTGTAAACAAATCAAATGCTTACACTGAAATAAACTAGTGAATTTAAATTATGATCATTTTTGGGCAAAATTTTGTGATTCGTGGGATGCAACCAAATTAGACGATTTTTGTATTAAATTTTTTAAAATATATAAAGTACAACTAAAAATGCGATAAATGTGGGGTCGCATTAAGCTTTAATAAAATGAATAATTTGTTTTTAAAATTTGCATTTACAGACTTTTTTGACCCCAGGAACAACTTTAATGTAAAAATAAAACACATCGTTTTTTGTACAAAAAATATACAAAATCAAAAATTTCAAAAAACCAAAAAGCACGTATATTTTAATTTTGCATTTTCTATCTAATGGAAAACCCCCCATTGTCTGTCTTGTCTGTCTGTAAACTTGCTGTAAATTTTTGACTCTATTTAAAGTTATATTCAAACCGGTTAATTCTAATAAAAGTTATAATCGAAACAATTGTACTCCAGTACTATACTACTACAGCTCGTTTTTCTTCTACAATATATGTACCTTTTATAGCCTGTACCCAAAGGGTAAAAGGCTATATTAGTTTTGTGCGAATGTATGTAACACATACCGTCTGTCTGTCTGTATGAGCGCAACGATCTCAGCTACTACAATAGCTAGGATAACCAAATTTGGCATTCAGGTTCACCTAGGCACTAGGCAGATCGAGTTTGTGTTATTTTTTTCTTCCGATACACCCCCCACCCCCCCGCAATTCGTTTTTTTCCAACTCCCATAATTCTTGGAATTTCGAAATCAAATTTGGTAATTACATCCAGTTAGTTATTATGTATCCGTATGCCATATATGTAGCTCTGTCCGCAGCTGTTGTTGTTGCTGCTTTGGTTTAACTTTGTGCAGCATACATACACATACATATGTATAAACACGCAGAGACACGATTCTGATGTAAATGTAGGCTGTTTAAACTGTACATAAACGTGTCTTCTATGTACATATATATTAAATAAATTTTATTTAATTTAGTTAGTTAATTCAATTTTTTAAAAAGAATTTAATTTTTTTTAAATCATTTTTTTTTTTAATTTTCTTTTTTGGGTGGAGAGTACAGGCTATTTTGCTGTCGGGCTTGCTCGACTGTAGGGTTCTCTCTTGTTTAAATTTTAGTTTTGAACTGACGAGCTCAACTATGACATTCTATCTTGCTTATCACTTTTGCATTTGTATTGTTATCCGGGATTGTAATTATGTTAGGCTGGGATATAGTCAAGTTTCGTTTCTTCCTTTTTGGAGACTCGGACAGTAGCTTAAGGCCAAGAAACGTCGTTTCCAGCGCTACAAATTTTTCGTGGAAAACTTGAAACTCGGCACGAAGTTCTTTTATGCTTTTATGCGTCTGCTTCATAAACTGACGCATTTCGGTAGCAATACTACGACATCTTTCACAAAACCAGATTAAGCCGTTGTTTTTGCCTAAGTAGTCAGTTACCCGGCCAACGAACCCGGCACATTTCGCGTGACCAACGTCGTCGCACAACCAGCACTGCACTGTAGGGTCCATTGAACCAAGCTTATGGCCAAACTCACAGGACTTAAAACAGCAAGAAAACATTTTGGTCCGTTTTAGTTTGAGCCTAAACGTATGCTATGAAAAAAACAATGTTTGTTGAATGGCACTAGGAGTTGCACAAACACACGCACTCAAAGTAATTAGTAAAAATGTTTTTAGTTTATTTAAAACGAAGATTTTATTCAAAAAATTCGGAAATGAAAAGGTTTTGACTCTATTTTAGAGATGCAATGAGATAGCACTCATAGCTTCTAATTTATAGTTTTAATGAGGATTGGACCACTTCGAAGAGACTACATTCGTAGACAATAAGACTGTACATAGAGTCTGTTAACTATTTGTTAAAAGAAACAAAGAAATTTAATGGTATAGATAATTTATATTTGTTTTTGGAATCTTCAATTGTTTTGTATTTCTACTGCTGTCTTTCGATTCGCCAAAATTAGCCTCGGCTGATTTCTAATCGACTACATTTCTTACTGCTGGTAATTATTGTTATTGTGGTTTCATTGAAATAATACCAAAACCGAATACCAATATAATTTTATATTTTCCGCCAATAATAAACTGATTTGCCATACGGCATCGATATATATATATATATATACTAACGAGGTTGCGGTATTTAAATACCAAATGCAATGGCGATTAAGTTGGCAGTGCTGTATATATGCAGGGGTATATACAACAATCATATGTTATTGTATTGGTCTCGTGCTCCGTATACAGAGCTTTTAAAATAAATCCTTGTTGTTACTGAAACTATTCAACTATTGTCTAACGCTAAATATGGACATTTCGGTCAAGTTAAACGATTTGTCTGCTGCTTGGATTAACTACCTAAATGTACTCAATAGCTTATGCGCAGCCGGGTGCAAACTGGCTCACTCAATTGGAATGCTAGAGCAGTCCTCACGATCTCTAAATGAAAAACCGTTATTGAAAAATCATCCAACAACATACTTGACAAACTCTTGGAATGACTTAGCCAGGTATTAATGTTCAATTAAAATACAATATCCAATCTTATGCATATGTGCATACTTTGGACATATGGGTATGTAAAATATGTAAATCTGCAGGGCAACAAGTTTTAAGATATAGTGGCACATTTAAGGTAATCCATTTAGGGTTGGGGAATATCCACCTAATTCTATTCGAAAAATTATAAAATACATGGAAGAAAAAACTTGGCGCAGGCCCCTCTGCTTATTAAAATACTTTGGACTATGGCGTGCAGGTGAAACGCCATTCAGGATATGCAGCGGGGGGTTGCCAAATCAAGTAGGGAGGGACACATCCAACGCAATTATACAACTTTTCCAATCATATGTGCTGTCATTTTTTGTGTGTCTCTACTTGTATTAGGGCAACAACAGTAGCGACTAGTACTGTGAAAACTCACATACTAGCAGTTCTTCAGGACTTCATAACTTCGTCTGTGGATCAACCAAGTGCAATTAATAATGAATTGGAGCAGAAACGGATTCGTGAACACAATGAACTCATTGTTCTTGAGAATGCTCAAACCGTAATCAACATTCAGCATCAATTTTCTGCCGCCAATTTTGATGCTTTTTCACCATTAACTTGTTTTGTTTGTCAATCGCCAGTTGGATTTCCACATGAACAGGACTGCAGCGTTGCTAAGCAAAAGTAAGTATGCAATTGCATTATATTACAGACTCTAAGCTAGCACCGTGATTAGTAGTCCTAAGCAGCAACGGTTTCACATTAAATAGTTTGTTATACTCTATACGCTGTGCCCAAATGATACAATATTATTAAAAAATGGTTTTTGTAATCGGTTTTTGCCGACCAAACAATGTATATACAATTTGGATCAGAATGACTAGAATTGTTTTTGATATATCCGTCTGTTTGTATGAATGCTTTAACTTCCATAAGTATAAAAGCTAGAATTACTAAACAATGTATCCAGGTTCTTCTAATGCCGGGGGGATGGAAGAGTTTTAAATACGTACCTCCAACGAAGGAAAGTATATCCGAAAGTATAAGAGCTAGAGTCGCTAAACTTGATATATGTACATGTTTCGATCGTAGGAATTACATTTACAGTAACTATATTTAAAATTGAGCCATCACAAGAAAAACATGACATGAGGACACACAACCACTGACCGAATTTAAAATTGAGTTATAAAAAATCACATACGGACGTCCGACAGACGTGGCTAAATCTCTTCCTCTTATACTGATCAATAATATTTGTAGAGGGTATAAAAAAGATTTTTAATTATTATTTACTTCATTACTGAATCGGGTACAGAGTATAGCATTCTACTCCTTTTTATTATGAGTGTGGATACAGAGTATTTAAGAGTTGGGCCATCTCGACTTAAGCGTTTTTCAATTACAAATTTTATTGTTATTTTAGATCGCAAACCGAACAAAGATCTCAAACTCCATCACCAAACTTTTGTGGTACCAGTATGAAAATGGATTCATCTCGAGGAAATTCTTTAACGGATCAGCGTTCTTTACCAGTGGGAATTTCAGAACCTGGTAATTCTACAATATCTTTTTTGATTATTCAACATTTCGTTTAGTATTACTGCATTTTGTGTTAATCATGATATTTCACACAGCTGCCACCGAGCAACAGCGTGGACCATCGCCCCAACAAAATTTTAGAGATACAATACCGATGCAAGCTATTTTTGAAAACACGAGAGGTCCTCTGCCCAACCCTGGGCACTTGTTGTCAATGAAATTACCGTTTTACCGCAATGTCAAGTCACCATTAAATTTTCCATTATTTCCACTTAACGGGCAACGGCGGTGGTCAGAAGCTGCTGCTGGTGAAGTAATTGATGGTATATCAACTGATCCAGAAAGCCATATGAGACGGTGGTCAATGCCGTGGGAGGCATCGAAATGCGATCAAAATACAGTAACCTGGAACCAAACTCGAATAATGCCAATGAATGCAATGAAATGCCCGCATTACAAAGTATCGAGCTCTGACCGTTTTAACTCCCATACGCAAGGTATTTTATATACACCTTCACTGAAATCAAACTTGAAATAAATGTTGGTCAACATATTTTCTTTATAGATGGAAATTGGCCTGCGTCGGGAACTAGTCAAGATGGCTTAACCGAGGCAATACAGCTGCTGTCTTTTAAACCACCTAGAACACATCAAATGAATCCTCAGCCCCCGTTTGCATCACCTACTACGGAAACCCCCAATTTAGAATAAGCCGCACGCATTGCAATTTAAGTAACACACATTTTTAACATAATTAATTGAAAACTACAAACCATTGTTCTTTGCTGCTGTCAGTTTCTTGTAGGCCTTCTCAAGAAATTACAAAAGATAGTTAATAAAGGAAATACGTGGTTTGTATTAAAATGATATGAACTATTTATTTTACATTTATATTTATCGGTCTTTGAATGGTATGCGTAATATTTTTAGTTGCTAACATGCCACATCATTGCATGTGTTTTTCATATGTATGTATGTATGTATTTTAGAGTGAATTTATTAGACAATAAATACAATAAATACTCTAGGGGTACATGACTTATTACTATGTATAACCGATCGTTCGTCGAGTTACAGCTAATGCCTTTTGTGATGCTTGTTGTTATATACTTAGAATAACATGACTAGGTAATTGGTTATTATGAATGTGTATCTTACTATATGCTTGAATTTGCGAAAACTTCATCATCTATTCATACTAATTTATATAGTTCGCTAGGATATATAACCCGCTGCTGGGGTTTTCCACAAATTGGTTATCTTTATGTGACATTTAAGTAATCCAAATTCAATCGATCTGCATTTGCTCCCCAGCATTCGAAACTTTCGGACGTTCTGTTATGTATGTATATGAATATTATAATTTTCCTTGTGTAATTTTGTTTATATCTATGTACATAATTATGTAATTCACTGCAATCACAAAACCGGAGCAATAACCCTTAATGGGTTAGTATGAAAGTGAGAATGAAGCTGGACTAATCAAAAATCCCTAAAACCAACGCATACACGTATACAGTCTTTGTCTTACACCTTATTAGGAGAAATAATATACATAGTTACTACAACCTCTGAAGTGGATTGCAAATCAAACAACAACTCGTTTTCACTTCCTAGTTCTTTATATATAACTTTGGCAGTGAAGTGTCAACTATTACTAGCTGCTTCGAATTCAGGGCTGCAAATATAAGTGCTCTCATGAAATTAATTGTATCTACCTATTTTGGGACTGCAGTGAAATATATAATTAAATGATCTCCCTTGAGAACAAGTATTGGGTGCAGTAACGAACATATATTTAGAACCTTATCTAGCTGTTTTTTGTATACTAAATTTTTTTTATTAATATTGTATACTATCCCGTCAGGATTGCAGTGCCATAAACTATAGAGTTTCGTAAATTTTACCTTCATGTTTGTGCTATGCCTGGACTAGGTCCTTATGTACAATTATTTCTAAATCTAACAACTACCCAAATAAGGTGAAATGGTAATATGAATTATGTATGCTTTGAATTGCATATACATACGTGTACATACTAGATTGATTGATTAATTTTAACTTTTTGTTGCTGTGCGTGTCATAATGTAATATAATTCAACAGCACGCACTTTCGATCTATGCTGAGTTTACGCGTGTAGTATAACTAAAATTCTCAGTTTATATCATATATGTAAGTATATTATTTTCTTTGGTAACTTTCAGAAGCTGCACTAAAACTTAAGATAAAGAATTTTACAAATAGGTATAGAAAGAAGTCTCGGACCACATCTAGAGTATCCATAATTTGTGGCTACTTTACGTACGTGCTTATAAATTATTATTTATTTTGTACGTATTTAGTTCTAAGTATTTATGAGTTATTTTCAATACTGCATTCTAAACGTTACATTTTTAATACGTCATCATAATTCTCTCAGATGTGTATTATTTTAAACATGAATTTAGTGCAATCCGTCTTCCAGCGCTCTGTAATTCTTACACACTAGTATGTACCTTTAATATCATATAGTGCATATCTACAAAATGCCCAAATGTTTTTAATAATATTCAGATCTATATGTTATTTTGGTTACACTTGCCTTCACACACATATTCTATTTTTTGATAGTTTTTTCTTCCTATTTTTAAAATATTAAATTTCTTTCAACTACATTGTGTTTATGCTTAAAACAAGTAAACCTCTTCTATGCACTGGAGTTTCCATATCTGCATACTCTTTCCAAAGAAGTTGGTTTGATTAGATGATAGTCACATCCACAAATTGCAAAGGATTTTATATATTGAATGATTTACTATTACAATTCATAGCCTTTAGCTATACATACTTAAAGATCTAAGCTGTCAGTTTGGCTAAACCGTCAATATCGGTGGTAAAAATAAAATAATAAGTTCGATGATTTGATTTAATTTAATTTATGATTTTAAAGAATTTGGAAAGAATATGTGTCTTTCGGCGCACCGAAGTAATGATTTCTCAATAATCATCCATCCATCCATCAGATAATATAAGTACCTATACTAGCTTACATATAGTATATATACATATTTCTATTGCGGTCGTAACACGTAGTCTGCAATGCCAAAAGCAAGTACTTACAACAATATATTCTTTCAGAAACGATATGGGTAAAGGGTAGAAAACATATCGCAAACAGTAGAGCCCAATTTCGTTCTTGGATCCATTTCAGAAAAAAAAACATATTTGTAATAGGGCTCTTTTAAACATTCTGATGGTGTATACTTTGATGCTTTATCTGGCTAACAATGCAGATGGATAATTCAAATAACAGCTACATACATATAGCGGTTGCCTGGTTCTAGATTTTTTTTCAATATCATTCGTTTCAGTTTAAAAGGGTGTACGCTATTTTTGTGAATTGTGGAGATCATAAAAGTTACGGTTGTTGGGGAAATATTGCAATGTTAAAAGCTTAAAAGCATTATGCGCTGTATAACATTTTTGAAATTTAGTTCTATGGTATAACCTAGGCATAATTACTAAAAATTAGAGTACATATTTACACAGGTAAGATTAATGATAAAATACTTTATATTATTAATTATCTACTCATTTTCTTAAATTATGTGCTAAGTACATGTGTAGTAAGGCACCTTTTAAATTATAATGTTCGCAAAAACCTGCTACTAATCATCAGTTTTAAATGCCAACAATAACAATACAAATAAAGATGAGTATTGGGAGAATGGCTGTAATTGAAGTCGGTGATAGGGTATTACTATTCGAGATTCCCATCTTGTATTCCATATCGATGTCAAGAAGTAGGTCATGATTTCGCGTGTAAAACTGATGAATGTCGCTGATCTAAAAAGAATATAATTAATTTTGCATTAAATAATGTCAACATAAATTAAAGCAATTCGTTTAAGCTGGAAGCTAGAAATTTCTTATCCTAGATTACAGTACTAACTTCGTTCCATCCGTATTTATTTTTGGCCTGAACTATAGCTTCATAAACTGCATTATGTTCCAGATTCCTTATTACATAAGACATTATATAATGCGAACTATCTGTCCTAATTGGCGTGGGCTTAATATGATACTCATGCCATTTTCCAGGGTGTTGGTATGTTTCGTTCATCTGAAATGTCGAAAGTTTATTATTTAGTATTGGTCTTGTAGGTTAAATGGTATTTAATCTTTACTAGTAGCCTTCGATAAAGCAGCTTGATCTCATCTAAAGGCGGAATAGATTCGACCGTCCAAGTAAGGTTATAGTGATCCAAAAATCCACTTAAGGCCGGTGAAATGAAATCGGCTGGTCCTGGTCGGCCCGACACTTCGATATACTTCTTTGTCCTTCCCAGGGCATTATCGGCAACGCAACTATAGTTGCCGAAGTCGGTTGGCTGAAAATTTCTAATAATCAAGCTGTATCTATCGTCTCGCGGATACATAGAGCGACGGTCTGTTGGATCCAGTAGGAACGAGTTTTGATACCAAAGCATCTAGAATTACGACACTTTAGTGTAATGAACATTGAAACATGGTAGGTATAAGGAAATTTACTTCAGAATTTACATCGCCATGGACTATACAGACAAGCTCAATGTCATACCCTTCAGCAGCATGAACCCATGATTTTTCCACAGTTATTTCCGGCGGAGCTGTGGAAAAACAAAATTTGGAGAGATCTTTAGTTAAAATGAACTCTAATAGTAAATCTGAAAGTGCTGTGTAAAAACAAAAGCAGACAGTGGATTACAAAACTACAGATCAAATAATAATGAACATTTTAGAACATAACAAAATAAACGCCAGCTCTTGCAACTTTATAATGTCAGTTGATATGGCAATCGGACTCTCCATTGGCTTCATTTCAGAGCTCTCATTTACTCTTGTTTTATGAATATGCCATCCATCTAGCCATCAACGATGAGAAAGCTACAGATTTCTCCACTCAATTGGTTTAATTCCAGTGTGAGAGTTAAATTACCATTAATTTGCAATATAGTATATATAGTATTCAAAAAATAGATGGAGGTTTTCGAATGCTCTGTCCTTATATACAAAAGTTCTTACACAGAATTGTAAGCTGAATATCCATTGAGACACGTTCTTTAACACCATTATCCGCCGAGCATTGATATGTTCCGGCGTGGTGTCTGTCCACATTTTCCAATATCAATGTCGAGCTATCCGATAAGTGGGTGGGGCCAGAGAAAACGTCCTTTTTGAACCAATATATTGTTGGAACTGGATTGCCAGAAGCCTTGCACTCCAACGTAACTGTGCTCCCTTTGCGAGCTGTTACTTGACCGTTGTGTGGAAGGGCCCTCAGAGTTGGTGGAACTATCATAAAACAAAATAGGGTATTCCAATAAATTGTGGACAATTAACAAATAATTTAACTTACCTAGAATTTCAACTGTATGTACTTGATCGCGATTCTCTTGATCGCCCAGCTGACATATATAGTCTCCGGCATCTTGGGTTTTCACTCCGTTTATCTGTAGATTATAGTCCCCGACAATTTTAAACCGCTGATCTCGGGTAATTTTCAAGTGACCAGCAGTCAGCACTGACGAGCCCTTGCGCCACAATAGGACGAAAGAGCCAAGATTTTGAACTTTGCATGGCAGCTCAATAGTCTCACCAACTATGACTTTGTAGAGATGTCCTCGTGATAAAAACTTTGGTGCAGTCGTTGGAGTATCGCTTTCTGGCATATGAAATGATCCATCTGGAAATGAAGCTATGGTAGTGTTAAAGAAACAAAAAAGGTAGGTCTGTGTATGTATCTGATATTCACCGACAAAGAAATTGCTTATTATATATATATTATATATGAACATATAGCATATAAGATTTTAAAGAGCTTCGCTCAATTGTAGTAATAAAAAAATAATGCAGCTCCTTTATTTTCATATTATTTGTGCAAGAATCCAACACTATTGTTGTTGCTGCTAAAAGTACACACACTTACCTATACAAGAAATGTTATACGCCAGGAAATAAAACAAAACTAAAGACCAATAGGGTCGCTTCGGGTTCGACTTCTGGATCTGAAATATTGAAGTGTGTCAATAAACAGCATGAAGATGAAAAGTCAACAAAATGTATGCTCTCCTAAAAAATGTATTTCATTTCAACTTCATTTTCACGACCGGTATATAATCTTTATACATATGCATGTAGGTAAATAATTTTATATACATACATACATGTATACATAGACTCTGTCATTTTTATTGACATTTCTGCATAGTATTTAATATTTTAAAACTACAGACTAAGTAATTTTCATTGCAAATTACAATTAGTTAAAATTCGGCTACATATTTCTCATTCTCGAAAAACATGTGTAAGAACATATGTATGTAATATCCTTAAATAAGTGCAACGGCCAAACTGCATTTTAATATATGTACATATGTATATGTATGTACATACATATGTATATATAGGCATGTATGTTTGTTTGGATATGTAAAGGCCATACCTATACCAAAGCCACAAAGATATACTTACACATACACATCCCTACATGCACGGTTTTGTGAAAAAGTAACTTATTAATTCCAAAGCATGTCGTTTCTGGGTATATGGAAATTCTATATATCATAAAGCTATAATGAACCTTTTTCCATCAATGAAGATAAATATTTAAGACCCAAATAATAGTTTTGCACTTCAATTTTAGAAATGTATGTGTGTATATGTGTGACCGAGACAGAGCCCAACATTTTCTTTAGCTGTGTATTTCGTGTGGGTACCTACCATTTTAATTTTTCTGCAAAATGGTCTGCTTTTCCAACTATTAATCGCTTTATTCCATTTACATTTAAGTATAAGCCACACGCTTTCAATTAGTTAACTAATTTCTTTCGGTTTTGAAAATGTCGTAGCTATTGCACTTTTACTTTAATCGACTATAAAGTAGACTAGAGTTTCAGGTTGGCGAGTATAATTTTATTTATCCTTAAAATTTTCCAGGCAGAGCGCATGTCCGAAGGCACAGCTTTTGTCTCTAAAGCTCAATTGTGCTTTTTTCATGAAGTGTTATACTCGTCATATATTACAGTGGAACTGTATAGCAAATTATTTACAAAAAAAAAAATGGTGTATTTCAAAAATAGCGATAGAACAATAGAATCTTATCAATTATTGTAGTTTTGTATACAGCATTTTCTATGAATCCATTTCAATAGTTTATTTATCTCTTGGGTGTAATTGACCCCTTAGTAGATATTAGTAAAATCACTTGCAGGGCGAATACAAGAAATTTTTGAAACCTGTTAATCCCAATAAATAAACTGTGAACATATAAATATATACATTGTACATACATATATTTTTTTAAATTGTTGGCCTTATTTTGCAATAATGGTCAAGAATATATATAAATAAGTTTGTGGAGTTTGCAGCTAAGAAAAATGTATAACAGATATGTACAGACATACTTTTGTTTATGTACATTTGCATTTGGTTTGTGCCCTTGTTTTTGTGCGCAGTATAGATTTGAACCAAGCCAGGAACAAGGACAGCTTGTGTCAGAGCTTTGGTAGAAATTACATTTATGGCAATAACTTTGAAACTTGACATGTGAGCCATGGGAGCGCGAAGGGGTAAAATAATGATGAGACAACTCTCCTCTAGGGAGGAGAAAAAAAAATTTTTTTTACCATGAAATTTCTTATGTATTAACTTATATTTTTAATTTAAAAAAAAGTTGGCTTTGTGTTGGCGTGAAGCGTCATAATTATAAGTATATTGTACAACACAAGAGTGATAGCTATTAATGTCACCTGCCCCTTAAGGATGAAAGGGTATCCTAGAAAGCGTGAAAGCCAAATTTATCTAAAAGGCAGGCAGCGTTCAAGCGACCAATTTATAGTTCCATTCATGAAAACTATGACGAAACCAGTCAATATGTGCGTCCGTATGGGCAGCGAGAATAATATAAATACAATTTTTATAATATATAATAAAGTTTATTACCTATAATCCTTACATTTCAATAATATATTTCAAGTTCAATTTCAAGGGGTGTCAATCTTTCTGGCTACTCCTATGATGTTGCACAAAGATGCGTTATGTGTGATTTCCCCCCACTTCCCCCTATGGGGGTTTTCCCGATTTTCCATTCGTATAATCGCCTATAACTCGGAGACTATAAGACCTAAGACTAAGGACACCATATATTAGTCCCACATGCCTTACGTGAATACGCAGAAAATATGTATTTTGGAATTTCCCTTCCTCCCCCCTCTCCCAGGCAAACTCGTAACTCCCGTAATTCTTAGAATTTCGAACTCAAACTGGCACATACCTCCACAAATGCCATGTTTCATCATGATAGGCCGATTTAACAGGAAGTTATAGCCATATATGTACATAAGTCCAAGTAGTGCCCGCAGCAGTTGATGTTGTTACTGCTTTGCTCAGGCACACGAGACATACACAGACACAAAAATACACACATACACGCATAATTATTCTACACATATGTACAGAGTATTTCAATGTCGGGATACCCGAGTTTAGCTTCTCTACTTGTTTTTTATAGAAAAACTGCAGTGTATATGTAATTTAGTTATTGAACTGTATTTGCTTATAGAATAATTTTTGTGTATATATAAATACAAAAAATTATGGAACTTTTGGGAACAATGGCGAAATAGCTCGTAAGAATTGAACTTCAAACTCCTTTTCTGAAAACCTCTCCACGGAAGATCTGAAAAAGAAGGACGAAAATATGTAAATAGCTGACATAAACAACTTACCGCATTTCTAATGCTTACTTTGCCGCATTTCTAATGGTTGTGTTTATTTCCACAGGGTTGTGTATAATATTTAAAATACATGCCGCATATTCCACGGCATCTGTTGCAAGAAAACCATTTTGGCTACCTTCAGAAGTTTCAACTATATCGAGTAGTGGACCACCAGATCTATGCGCTACCATTATTAGACCGGCAGCCATGCATTCCACAATGCCAATACCGAAGTGTTCATTCCACATAGTATGTATTCCGATTTTTGCTCTTTGGTACAATTTTAGTAGCTCATCATAGGGTACATTAACTTTAAACTCAATTGAGTTTTCCAACGATAAATGTTTTGAAAGGTCCTGCATGTTTCTTAGTCGTTCGTAATCTTCCTCATGTCGACAAGAACCCGCAATGACGAGTCGTATTTTGTTCCAAAGCGCTTCATCACGCGTCAATAACGTTCTCAGCTCGTATAAGGCTTGCAATTGCAGCGGATGATCTTTTTCGGGACGAAACTGTCCCACAGACAGAATTACAATTTCATCGGTATCATCTAAGCGCTCCAACTGTTTCAGATGGCTTACTTCACATGGTGGATACACTCGATGGGTTTTAAAAGGCACCTCCCATAGTTCTAAAATATGGTTTTCAGTCCACGATGAGTTTACCATTATCGTTTCGGAGCAACACCCTACCCAGCGATACAGCTAGAATCAAAAATAAATATATTATATTGAATATGGGATTTAATTTTTTCACCCACCTTTGAAAGCACTCGATAATACGTAAGTTTTGTCCACGTCAGGAAGGGGTTTCGCGCTACATAAGCCTTATTATTGTGAACAGCTTGACGAAATTGAACTCTTCTCAGCATATCGGTGCTGACTATTGGGTAATGGACATAGCAGCCTATCTTTGCGCCACCCAAAAACTTAAACAATGGATACGTAAAGGCATATCCCATAGTGTCTATGAAAATATCTGGAGGGAACTTGCACAGCGCTTCCAATCCTAATATCATCGAGCCCAAGCTTTGTCCCAATAAAGTGAAGTGAGGATATTTTTTTGCCTCCACCCAACGTCGATGCTTTAGAAATACAAACGAGACTTTGTCATTGATCTCAAAATTAAAAACATTCCTTGCTTTATCCAGAATTGCTTTCGGTGAAGATTCAATGTCACCGGTATAAATAATAATCTTTATGTTATCATACTTGTTCTGGAATGAAAATTTAAGCTTATAGGTTTGCAGAGCATTGTAAGTCGTTGTTATAACGAACCTGCAATGTTCTTACGGCGCACCATAAAACACGCTCTCCTCCACCACCCGCATTGCAGTAAGGGTGAAATAGGCCCACGTATAGTTGATTTTCCGATGAGCCATGCAACTTCTGCTTTCTGCGCTGCAACCATTGGCGCAAACCAAGTGTAATTGCTGTGATTACAGATAACAGCGCAAAAATCACCCAGAATCTTTGAAAAAGTACATATTAATTAATAAAAAGCTTGAGTTGAAACAATTTTATATAAGATGCTCACATTAAAATAACAACGGCCATTTTATTGTTGCCGGTCTACTTAATACTTTTCATGATTGCCAATGTTTTGGTCTATTATACACGTATACTGTTGTACACAATTGTTAACATTATACATCAGCTGTTTTTAGATATGTGCACGGCAACGCCAACGGAAATACCAAAAACCGTGCGGTATATTTTAAGTTTGTAAAGAAGGGCACACTATGTTTTGTTGTTTTGTTCTCGCCCAATGTTGCAATTAGCTCGTTTTTCTTGCGATCATGGAGTATGTTCGTTCAATTTGGGATTGCCTTGTATCCATATGTAGCTGCTTGCATTGCACAGAGGATATTAGTAGGACCGCACAGACCGAGACTGAACGAACACATTTGCTAGCAAATGACCAGCAAAACCAAAGTCCAGCCTTGCGCAGGACCAACTCTGATCTAAACAATGACTGTTCACAATCGTTACCAAAAAAGGACGACCAGGATGCGCTCTCGCGGTTGGTGCAGGACACTGCCATGTAAGTTAATACTTATCAATTAGTTCATTCCAATGGGTATTACGATGTATTTCATACATATGAATGTGTGTGTCTGTGTGTGTGTATGTGCATGCACCTATTGTTGCAAAGAACGCACTGTTGTATATGAAGAGGATTTTATTAGGAGAAACACATGTTTTTTTTTTTGCAGCAACATGATTAATGTTGGTGCCATGGACTCACATCACTTGGAGCACCAGGAGTATACCGATAAAATAAAATTATACACCCAGCGTTTACATCAACAATGGAACAATATCCAGCATCCTGGGAATGTTCCGAAAGGTTCGATGGAATTTATTTTGTTACAATTATGTTAATTATAATATTTTCTTTTCGTGTAGGACTTTTGAAGGATATGCCTAATCATCAGTTTTATGTCTACAAGCCAGTTTATTCGGAAGATACCTCTCAGGTACGATATATTTACCTAGGTGGTTTTAAAAAAAGGATTGATACATATTATTATTATTTTAGATGAAAAAGTTCATTGGGAAATGCCATATTGGAGTTACGGATATCAAAATAGAACATAAGGAAGCAGTGGCTGTTGTAGTGCCGTTCCGGATTCCTTAATTAATACATTAACTTTGCGTTGTGCATATATAAAAGTTAAATTAGTTCGTCTGTAATACCCATCAGAGCTCTGGAAAAGCTGTTAACAAAATAACATTTATATATATTTAAATACCTCTACATCGAAAATCGCAAGTTACTCAGACGCATACAGCTACTAAATACATGTTTTGATTTGTGACATAAATACTGGGTTGCCACCCGAAAACATATTAATCGACATATAAGAAGGCAGAGTGGTCAGAGGGAAATAGGTCTGCCACAGGATTCACCATTATTCATGATTATAATTATGTCTTCTTTATGGAGCACTTAAGGAAGTGTCACTCGGCGTTGTAAAGGACTTCAAAACATGGAGCGGATCAAATATGTCCGTGAAGATCAATCCGCGGGATTGATAGTACCGATATTGTATTGTGTTGTCTGCGCCTGGAGAATTGTCAAAACAAGGTTCCAGACAAATTGCACATGAATTTGTAATTATATTCATTTACAAAGGGTTCTCAGTGCGTCTTAAGAAATCATTGCATTATCGTTCAAAATGTGCTTTGTCGTTTTAATATCAATGTGTACAAATGAGCCATTGTGTGTAGGATGTGCCATCCAGCGACTGAAGATGAAGAACGAGCTGAATGAAATGTCTTAAGCCGTGACATTTGCCATTGCAACACACTCTCCACAACTTCTTTGCTGACAATAAATTTTACATTAATATGCAATTAATATATTTCCAATTTTCGTCTGAAATTGTCTCTTTTGAAAACACTTTTTTAATCGACGTTATATGCGTAAAGCTTGTATTTGCGCGATCATCAATATTTGCGACTTGTTTCTTTATTCTACCGGCTTCCGATAATATAACTTATCTTCGCCATTTTTCTGCTCTCCAACACATATCCATTATGCTCAATGATAGAGACTATTTGATTGTTTTTGGTGATTTTAGCCTACCTGATGTTTCATGGTAATTATTAGATAATTCAAATTTTCTAATTCCTTCTGCCTGTCAATTTTTAGATGGGATGCTTGGTATACCTCTTTTTTCAAGTTAATGATGTGTAATGAAACTTAATTGCAGTTTAGGTTAGTTTGATTGGTCTCGTTTATATGTATTTGTGTATCGATATGGAAGCAGCCATTCAAATATTTGATGGTGCTCTTGATTCTGCGCTTGACACTTGCGTTCGTATTTGAAATCGTCGACCATATCGTCGAGTGCCTTGGTTTACTTTCCAATCTAAACAAGAAAGGAATGCTAAAGTCGAGCGAGCTCAACTCTTAAATACCCTGTACCTCCCACCAAAAAGGAAAAAATTAAAAAAAAAAAAAAATTTTTAATTTTAAAAAATATATTAATTAAATTATTTAATTAAATTAAATAGAAATTATTCAAAACATACATATATATACACAAGTGGAGACATGTTCATGTACAGTTTCAACAACATACATTTACATCAGAATCGTGTCTCTGCGTGTTTATATGCGTGTATGTATGCATTTCTTTCGAATTGACCTATCATGACGAAACTTGACATACGGACACATAAGCATTAACTACCAAAATTAATTTCGAAAGTCTAAGAATTACGAAAGTTATAAAAAAAACACAAATAGCGGAGGAGTGGGGGGTGTATCAAAACAAACTTCACCTGCCGAGAGCTTATGGGCGCTCTAGCTCTTGGACGGACGATATGATCAATAATATATATTTTTAGGGGTCTGCCACGCCTCCTTCTGGGTGTTACATACATTCGCACTAAACTAGTATACCCTTTGGGTACAGTGTATAAAAATGTTAAGTTCAGGTTCCACTTTGAACATCACAAATTTAGCGCACCTCGTTCACTTACTTGTATTCTTGCGTGCCGATTGCTTAACATGTTGCAGACTTAATTTTGCTCAAGACCCAAGGCCCACAGGCAAGGGCGTAGGCGTATTTTTTAAATGCATCGTGCATTATTTAATCAAAATTTTAATTTTTTGGCCCTCCTCCCTTTGGTAAAAGCTGCCCTTGTACACAGATGTAAGCCACTTTATAAGCTTTTCTCCTCGTCACTTCATAGTTGCTGTTTTTCCGGTATCTGGAAAGGATCTTACATCTGCCGTCTTCACAAAAAAGGATCTGATATCTAAAATAACAAAGAATTAAGATATCAGTTATCCCTAAGCTTCTGGGAAAACAAAAGAACACCCAGGTACAGCATCTTTGCAGACCCATAATTTCCCCGTTTCAACATGGATTTATGAAACGCCGTTCTACCCCAACGAATCTTCTCAACTTCTCATAGTTTTTTATGAATGGGTTTTTAGCTAAGAATCAGACGGATATAGTCTACACAGATTTTTAGCAAAACTTTCGACTCAGTCAATAACGTGTTATTTATTTACAAGTATTGTGTGGTTATCTAGCTATTTGATTGACAGAACACAGTGTGTAATTTTTAGCAGCGTGCTATCAAAATCTTTTAAAGTAACTTCAGGGGCACCACAGGGTACTTTACTGTTTACTCTTTTTATAAACGATCTTCCATGATCCTTAACCCACACTCGTGTCCTAATGTGTGCCCATGAAGTAAAACTTTGTTATAGCCTGTACCCAAAGGGTGCGTAGTTTTGTGCGTATGTATGTAACACACAGAAGGAGGCGTGGCAGACCCCACAAAGTATATATATTCTTGATCAGGATGAGAAGCCGAGTGGATATAGCCTTGTCCGTCCGTCCGTCTGACCGTCTGTCTGTCCGTATGAACGCAAGGATCTCAGAAAGTATAAGAGCTAGAATAACCAAACTTGGTTTCCATAATCTCCTCAGACCGAGAAAGTACGAGTTTGAGTTTTTTTTCGCTCCCCCGCAATTCATGTTTTTTCTTATAACTTCCGTAATTCTCGGAATTTTGAAATAAATTTTGGTAGGTACATCCAGTAGGTACTAATGTGTCCGTGTGCCAAATTTCATCATGATAGGTCAATTTCTGTTATAGCCATAAGTAAAATCGCTGCTCATGCGCTGCCTGCAGCTCTGTCGGCAGCGCTGCCCGCAGCTGTTGTTGTTGTTGCTGCTTTGGTTCAACTTTGTGCTGCATACATACACGCATATAAACACGCATAGGTACGTGATGTAAATGTATGCTGTTAAAACTGGACATAAACATGTTTTCTAATTTAATTTAATTAATTAATTAATTCATTCATTTTTTTTTTTAATTTATTTTTTTTTTTAATTTTTCTTTTTTGTGGAGAGTACAGGCTATTTTACTGTCGGGCTTGCTCGACTGTAGCGTTCTATCTTGTTTTTCTTATAAAGGTGTGCAGTACCATGGAAATTTATAGTTTGATCTCAATGCCTTTCAATTGTGGTGCTCTCGGAATCTGTTAAATTTAAATGATGCAAAATGTAAGTTGATGTCGTTCTATCTATATCTGGTGCCCATTGCGGGCATTGCAATATATATACATAGGTGACATTGAATCTGTTCAAAAACAGTTTCCTTTGTTTGCTTTACGTGGCCTTGGTTGAAGTAGAACCGAACCTTTGCCACCATATTCTCAGGATTTTATTATGTATTGGTTGTATTCATAAATTAATTATTGGTGAAATCGAGTTTTCAGAGCTTGTTAGTCAAATGAACTCTTTTCTGCTCAAGAAAAACTTACAAGATATTTTGCACCATTAAGTTTAAATCGCTGTACCACTAACTATGCTTTGCACAATTCGTTTCGGGTCCTTGGTAACAATTACAAACAATTTAGTCATCTATTTGGCCACTTTTATTAGATCTTTGTGTCAATGCGATAAGATGAAGTATACTGGATTTCGTAAGGTTAGAATAAAATATTTTAATATAAATTTAAAATATTTTAATAGTTGCACTCTAAAAGCTCTACTTTTCTAAAGAATTATTGTAATTTTAATTGTTTTTATTGATTTTTTTTTATATTTCAATGAGTATTTATCATTATAAATAAGGGCGAAATTCTGAAATACACATGTTCTTCGTATGAACTAACATTTAATATGTCTAGTTCTTTTAGTCTCCAAAAAATTGGTGATTATTCAAACCCAATATACTCATTTACCTTTTTGTGTAGAGTATAAAAAACATGTAATGCACTAGAGCCACTAACTCCACCACTCGATAGAAAACTGGTTATGCGATTGCAAAGGGTAAACTTCAATGGGTGTATAAGCCTGGATGGAGGCGAGGCAAACATCGTGGTAGTAAACTCGCGACTGTCTGAGACGATATACTTGTATTTAGCTATGTTCGTTACTTTCTATACAGATCGGGATGCTCGATTTTATGGCTCACACAACAAATTCGAGCAACCCAGCACTCATAAACTCTGTTACGGAATAGCAAAAACTTGCCACAAACTTTCTTTATCAACGAAAAGCTTTTGCAGAGCTTAAAATGAAAATGGGGCAATTGTTCAAATTACGAACCTTATTTCCGACCAGGAACGATAAAAACTTAAACGTTTCTGTGCACCAAACATCGTGATTTTGACTCATTGTTGGAAAGCTCGGAGCCTTTAACTTCAAAATTGGTTAGTATCACATACTCCATATTCAAAATTATTTAAATATGACCACTATTTCGACCAATTTAAAATAATCGATGTGTCGGGACCATATTTTAGGAACATGACTTTAACTTTTTAGATTAGAGCTTTGAACACAGAATTGAAAGAAAAATGCACTTTAGTTTTAAAAACACATTTTATTATTTTGTATATTTTAAAATGTTTTAATAGTAAATTACTTAGAAAATAAAAACTTGGAGCATTTTAACGGGCGTTTTATACGTATTTGTGAATTTTTGCTTGAAAATATTTTAAACAGCTTTGACGCTTTTGGTACTAACATGCCGAGGGAATTTACTAATTTAAATAAATTAAAATAGGTATGTAGCGTATGTGAGTTGACCTTTAAAATACGGATATACAAAATTGTCAATAATTTACACTTAACTACATAAATTAATTTACAATAATTTATTATTTATTTAATGTTGTACCTAATTTATGATAGGGTTGGCTTAAAGTACATACAATTTGTTTTCTTTCGTGTTTTTGTTGTGGCAATATAGTATAGTCTATCATTTCTTATCGTTGTCGATTTTGCTTTTATCTAGAGATGACGATACCATTCCGCCTCCATTTGAGGGATACAATTTCTCCAGATAATTTAATGATTCATTAAGAAATGTCTGCAACGAAAAACCTTACTAAGAACTGAGCTTTTAACCTTTTCAAGACTTGGAGTCTTACCTGAAAAGCGTGCAAAACGGCCATTATTGCGGGTGACCCAAATCCGTGAGTTATCAACGAAAAATGGGTCAAGTGGCGCTGCATAGACGGTTCCAACAGATGCTGCGATCTTGTACCGAAATGCGTGGTTCTGTCTTGGCTTAATATTTGCATAAGTTCTTTTGTGATCTGCATATTGGAAGACACAAAGCACAGAATAACGATGCATAATTAGAAATTACAATTTAAAAAAAGTCTGTGGCTATATGCGGTCGCACCTGTTGTGAATGAAGAATAAGCTCTTTCCGCCTATAAGAATCTTGCGGTTCCGTCTGATGACGCACAATATACTCGGCCAGTTGCCTTGCCGGAAACTCCGTTTCGCAGACAAAGTGAAAATCTTTTGCCAAGTGAGTAGCCTCTCCTTCTACCAGGGATGTGAGCAGCGTTACGTTGGCTGCCTTCCGCCGCCCGGCCGGCAGGTTTAGTCCGATTTTTTCGAGCTTCTCCCTCAATAGGCGTCCGCCATTCTTGCTTTTAGCTCTAGATATTAGGACGGAATATGTTAGTAAAAGCTGTGACAATAGTATTGGAGCTGCTATTGGCATCATCTGCACTAATGAGACATACCTTCTGAGCACTCCACCCAGTAGCGACGCATTGAGGCATTCGGGCGGCGACAATCGGCGTTGCACTTCCGCAATCGTCACCTTATATTTCGACGTGCTAGAGAGTAAGCTGAGGCGACCAGGAACGGCACAAAACACTTCGCTCGGCGAACCTGAGCCAATGTTCCCAACGTCCTTCCCACTTTTCATGCCTGCGAACAAATTATAAAATTTTGCGCACACTTAGAATCACAGCCAAGAGAATTCATTGTTAGGAAAATATATTTCTTATTATGCCACTGTTGTTGTTCGGCAATGTTAAAGTGTGAACACACTGCACAAGGATCATTTTACCCTAATCCTGCCAATTAGAGGAGCCAGCTTCTGTTTCACAATGCCCGCTTCTAAGTTTTTCGCTTGTCGTCGGGGGGTTGTTTGTGCATTGTTATTCGGGCGTATTTCTGGCACCGCCTTTAACACACTAATTTCCTTCATGACATTACTGCAGTTTGCGCTGAATGTGCCATACATACATACTTGGCAATAAGGACAATAAAATGCAATACATAGGTACATTTATACTTTGTACTGATTATACAAGTATATACGTTGGTATGCTGCCCCATTGCTGAGTTGTGGGCACTAACGAATTCCTTTAAGTTTGTTGATTGAATGGATAAACTTACTCTTTATGAGTGGCAAGTCCGACATGAACGCCACATTGTCATCTAACGCAGGAGCTTGACCGTCATCAACTGCATTCTGTAGAGCCTGATGTAGAGCCAAGGACTCATGCTCATGACCAAGCCTGCCGCCGTGCGCAGCTCCAGCCGTTATTGCACTGCCGTAGTCGCTTCTCCTGTCCGTATATGGAAACCCATGGGACAACTGGGTCTAGAACAGATTAATCGAATTCTTAGATATGCGTGTCTTCATAATTAAACCTTCAAGCTTACTATAGATGAACATTATATATATATATAGAGGGTTGTGTGTGAAATTTTATGATAGGTTATACAATTAACTGGACTTCAATTTCGGAATAAAAATCGTGTAAACTTCAGAGAAAAATCGGAGAAAATAGCTATAATATTTTTAGATAATTTTGATCTTACAAGTAAGTGAAATTTGTATTTGCGAGGGCTGTTTCAGTTCGGCCCCGTTTCCGTTTTCAGGCAATGGAATTTAAATTTAACTCTAAAATTGGTATTTAAATGATTTCTGATGACCTCATTAAATTATTCTTCAATTGGTTGTCAATGAATTGTTTGCAAAACCACTTGGGACTAAAGTTGTCAGCAAAAACGAATCGTGTGTTCCAAAAGCATTTGACATCCATTTTTAGTTTAAATTTGAGAATTTCAGATAAGTAGTTTTTGATGCGATTCCATTTTGTGAAAAATAAAGTAGACATAAATTGATGAATTCTAAAAATTTAGTTTAGTTTTAAGAATTTCAGATAAGTAGTTTTTGAAGCGATTCCATTTTGTGAAAAATAAAGGAGACATTAATTGATGAATTCCAAAAAAAACGGAGAAATATTTCGTAAAATGGTCATTACACAGAAGGTAACTGAACAAATGTAACTCACGATTTATTTTTATCATTTCTTGTTTTTCGGATAAACAAGTGACAAAACGATTGAGGAATTCGCATTATCCGCCGCTAATAGTCTGATTATTATAGCTTCACCGAGTACGAAATATTCAAATCGACTTCACTGAACACACTTCCAGTTCATTGCGCTACAAATATTGCAACAATTTTTGGCGCACTCTACTTCCGGGCACATTATTGCCTTGGCGAAACCCAAGGGTTGAAGCAAACGAAAGCTAAATGAGCCAATCCCAGAGCTTTGCCAAATCAGCTCTAGTGGCTCATACACATATGCACTCAACCCAGTCCCAGTCTCAGTCCCACAGTTGCGCACAAATACTGGCAAGGATACGCCTGCAAGGGAGAGCAAATGCCACAGTCGTGGTTGCAGGAACACAGCTGGGAAGCTGAGACGTACAGCCAAAATATGCTGCTTAATATTATGTGCATAAACTCTTTTCCTTTTGGTTAAAGCGGAGCGAGGAATTTTTCGTCCTTGTTTGCAAGATGTTTCCACGAAATCCCAAGAACATTTTTCAAATACTTGAAAACATTTTTTTTGTGTTTTATAATGTACTTAAGCGGAATTTGTAAAGAAATAACTTCGACAATTGTTTTGGGAATGAGAAGTTTGCTGCTTCCCTTATGAATATTTGTTGTTTCGGAAAATACATGAAATATGTTGGAAAATATGCAAGGATAAGGCGGGATGTTAGAAGCTTGTGCTTAAGAAAGCACAAGACAACATGAAATGCTGTAGTTTACTTTTTAATATTGTTTGCCAATAATTGCTCGCAAATGGCCATGGCGAAAGTATACTTACAACATGTCCTTGCAGCTCAGCTTCTCTATGCGTCCTGTGGATCCCCAGCTGGTCCTGCGTCGACCTAAGGCCCGCCAACTGATTGTAGTGATGGAGTGGGGCATGGTGCAGAGAGGACAACGGTTGGCCATAGGGATCTGTGCCCAAATACTCGAGTGCTCCGTGGTTCTGTAAATAGCCAGATATCTAAATAATATTAGAAATGATAATTGCCATCAGCTTCTGACAAACTTCCGCTTTGGCACACTTACCTGTTGCTGCGGAGGGCTTTGGGTTGAGTGGTGGAAAGGCGGCGGGAAGTACGGAGGCTGGAAATCGGACTGCAGTGATTGGTGATGCATGGTAGCTGCCGACCCATGTGTACTACTGTGTCCACTGTGACCTGATGCTGGACCCCCTCGACCCGCGTGTCCGCCGGAATGGGTTGTATAAGCTGGACTACTACTAGTTAGACCTAAGCTGCCATGACCACTTAAGCGCTCCTGCAAACAGATAACAGATACATATACATAAATCACTTGTAAATACTTGAATAATTGTACTTTATGAGGCAGGATAAGCTGTACCTCAATATAAATTGTTTAACTCAATTAAGGATAGCACTTCAGCTGCCATCTTTCTATAATTTACGCATATGTTCGTTCCATTGACATATATATATATATATATATATATATATATATATATATATATATATATATATATATATATATATATATATAGTATAGATAGGGCAGATCATTCTTGATTTTTATAAAACATAACATCAACATCTTATTATAATTTCTCTTTCTCAATTGTGTCCTTACAAGGAAAATAGTTCCTAATTTTCTAATTGTTAAATATATAGGAGCAAATATGCTTTTACTGCATGGTTGAAATATTAGGGTGCTTAGGGAGAGAATGATAGGACGGTCTATATACATATCCAAATATATCTAAATATACAGATTCTGAAGATAAACAAGTTTTAAACAGTAAACGAGTATGTTTAAAGATAGAAGTATTCGAATACACAACACTCTGTGCTTCATTTAAATATACTCTTTTGAGAGAGGAGTGATATAGTACACGAAAGCATTAAACAGTTCCTGGGGCTATAATTTCTGTTTTTCGTTCAACTGCACAGGTTTAAGAAACATTTCTGTTATATTTTAGAGTTACTTCCCATTGTTATTTCGGAACATAAATATTTATAGAAAGGTACGAGTAAACATATATAGATAATTCAAAAGTAATATGTACATATATACTATATATTCTTTCGGGGAATGCACAGCAGCTTCTAAAATGGCATTGGTGATCAAAATTTGATACAAAAATGATCACTTGAACTAATAATTAAATCGAATCAATGGGTAAATACGAAATTAGTCAAATAAATGAAGTTCTGGTAAGTTTTTTAGAAATGTTCTTTATTGGAACCTTTGAAGTTATAATTTATAAAACTACGAAACTGGTACATTTGTGGTGGGTTATCGATATAGTCGACATAAGATACATTTATTTGAAGGTTAGATATATTTAAAAAACAAAAGTCCGTCCCTTTATACAGGTTCTGCACGAAAAACTCGGGCTTAACAAGCATTCTTAAGTTATTTTCAGGTAAGTCCGTTTTTTACTATTCTTATATTAATTTAATAAACTGGTTATTTATTAAATTAATACTTAATTACAAGCTTAACTTTGGCTTTAGGCAACCAAGTTTCAGGTAGAATTCTTGTGTGATGTTGATTTCATGAATTCCTTCTTTTTCCGTGAGATTCCTTAGGATATATACTTATTATTTTATTATTTGTTTATTTTTATTTTAAGCTAAAAATGATTTCCATCATTTCGATAAAATAGTTCTGTTTCTAGTTTAAATTATTACCTATCAAAATTGGAAATCAATTTATGCCGATATTGTTATGAAATAAGGAAAATGACGATTTCAATTTTTTATTGTAGACCTATGTTTGTTTAGATCTACGGATTAAATTTTTAATTTTAGCTACCAAAATTAAATTTGGATCAACTAACGCACTTGAAATATTCTGCAAAATAAATAAGATATACACCCATCTATCAGAATCTTTGCATTATATTTATTTTGCATTTCTTTCTCACACTTGTTGTTAGTAGCCGGTTGTAAAATATTTATATTAAAAAATATTTTATGTCGGTTAAAAAATATAAGCCACACACACGTTTTTCAGTATTCGAGATTGCGTTTTCCCGACGGCACCTCAGCGATAGTTTAGCGGGGGAAAAAAAATCTTGTTTGGACAAACTATACATTGATGGAAGACTCCATCGCTCACACAAGCTCGTGGCAGATGCGCCATCTTGGCTTTGGTTCGGTATTCTCATTCGTACAGATCGTATTTACCTGAGCTTCTATAACCGCAGGCATATCCACATAGGCTAGTGTCATGTTATCACATTATACGCACGGAAGTTTTCAAACACGCTGATTAAAGGCAAATGGGTGCATTTTATTTTAGAAATAAACGATGCACTCTACTCGTATTCGGCACAGCAACTAACACAAACATCTCTTGTCACTCTCTGTTCTCGTATGTATCGGCAATTATTAATTAATTCTGATTTACATATGCGTGGCATTACTCTTGGCGGTCATATCGCACATGTGTACTCCATAATCCATAATCTACGTAAATAGCTTTTATTCTTGGCGAATAGCGCGCCCAAACTTGCCGTACAACTTGCCCGACGACATCAGTCCGTGAAAGACGAATGCGAAATGAGAACTGGCCGGGCCGCGTGCCGACAGGGCCAAAGCAGAAGTAGCGGCAGCGGCAACCGTGGCAGTGGCAGCGGCAACCGTGGCAGTGGCAGAGACGAATCTGAATTTGAAACCCCTGCACGCCCCGGCAACGCCAACGAGCAATAGATTCGGGTGAGTGCTCGAGCGTCGACGCGTCGTCGATGTTGATCCAACAAAGAAAAGACCGTTCGGCTGTTGCTGTGCGGCACAGGCCCAGAACAGTTAGCAGTTGACAGCCATCCTGGTCCTGGCGACAAGCGACATTCGAGATGAGAGTTGTGATTTCCGAGCTGAGAGTTTGTTTCAGCAGGTGCTCTTGCCCTCAAGCTTGAGATTATGATTATTAAAATCTAATTGTTATCACACGGAGAAAAAATTAGGGCAGTTCTGTACCGAGCGACTAAATTCGAATACTTCCATTTTAGTCGTTCAAATTTCGATTCATTTATTTAAAGAATGATTTGTTAACCCTCAGGTATTATTTTAAGAACTAAGCTGTGTTACGCCTTTAGATATTAAACTTTTCTACTCTCATTAAAGCATTGTTAAATTAGCTCTATTATTTTAGATCAGGCAATATTCAGACTATTACTTATTTTTGGATTTTTGAAGCGAATATGTTTGAAATGGTAAGCCTCTTAACAAAACATTTGAAATACATTTTTCAAGTTTACCTCAAACATCTCAAATTCGATCAATTAGGTCATAATTGATCATAATTGAGGGACTAAATACTTTTTTTTTTAAGTGTTTGGGTTGTATGAACACTAAAGGTATAAAGATATGACCGAAATATGTTATGTAGGAACTTAATTCTTATAATAATTTAATTCATCATTGGAAAAAAATGTCAATATTAAGTTGGCACCAGGCTGGCTCAAGAGAAATCCCAAAATTTTTGCAGTTTAAAAAAAATTCTGTAACAGTGGTCTCATATCTAATACATGTCAATCTGTCGTGTTATGGCCAAAACTGCAAGCGGATTCCGCAGCAGAACAAAAAAATAAATAAATAAATAAATAAATGAATAAAATAATTAAAATATATTGTAAGTGTGCAACTTTGCTTAATTTGGTAAATATCCAAAAATCAACCGATCTGGGCTTCAGAGCTTTATTTTTTTTATCAGTGCAGCAGACGAGAAATTGTTACAATATTTAAAATGCATATCATTAGCGCGCCATTTTGACCCTTGGCCTGTGCACTGAGACTATCCGAATAACATCTGCCAGTTCGGCACTCTGCCGGCGCTCAGCCAACCATCAATCATTAGTCAGGAAGTCGGCGACATTATGGCGTTCAATAGAGCTCATATACGAGTATATGAGGAATGTTTGCAGTATTTGACGAAGCCGTGCCGCGATTAGCAGCTCTCCATGGGCGCTCTTCGAGCGTTCAGCGCCCGCGGCAATCCACAGCGAGCGAGCACAGGAGTCCTGGTACGACCATGGCCATGGCCAGCCCAACAGTGCATTTGATGGGCAGAAAGGGTTGCTTGAAAGCGTCGAACAGCGAAGGAAACTGTGTCAGGCTCGGAGCTCGCTGAAGGGCCGCAAGCGTTTTGGCGACGGCATTGTATTGTGGAGGAGGCGCTGATATCGAAAGCCATTGCAACATCCTGTTGAGCGACGAGGCTTTTGAAAATTGAAAATGTTGCAGGATGCTTGAGCAGGGCGCGATGCAAATGATAATGCCAGCACATACGCACAAATAAAAGGCAATAACTATTAATGTTCTGTATATTCATAACCGTCGCTTTTGTCCCCCAGCAACGCCAATCTTTGGATGGAGCAGGACAAATGTTGTTTCTGTAATGACGCAATAGGCAGGCAGAGCAGCTTTTCAAAGTCGGGCTGCCACTTTTTGCTTACATACATACATACATACATATTTATTTTATTTTTTCTGCATTCGGTCGGTCCATTTAAGTGCGTTATAATTCTCGTTTGTTTTTCGTGGGCAAAATGGAATGACAGTAATTTGACACAAAACGTTGACGTTTTCAGGTATTGAACAAGTTTATTTAAATTCCGCACTTAGGATTGCATAAATATGCATATGTGTGTGTGTAAGTGTGTGTGTGTGTGTGTATGTGTATTGGTTGGTCCATTGTGGTCCAAATATGGCATTTCGTCTCATCTCTCCCTCTCTCTATCTCTCTCTCTCTCTCTATATATAGCCAAGATCCACAACTGCCTCTCTGCAATGCTGCCGCACTGTCTGTGAATACCTGGGACGCCTTTTTTAGTGTGTGTGAGTGCGCTTACCAATCTAAATGACATTTCGATTATTTAATACGACTTCACTAATAACATGGGGCGATTGCCTCAGACTAACTGCGCCCAGTAGATTCGATAAGGACAGCAACCTAAATGCTAATGCAGTGCCCCCCTCCCCCTGTCCAGTTGGAATCCTATCATTAGGTTTCAGCCCTGCCCCAATTGTTGTTGTGGTTTGTTGTGTTGTTGACTGGCTGTTGGAGATGCTATCGAAGATGCTGTGGTGTTATAATTACTTAAGCATTTTGCTAAGCTTTAATTATAGCGATTAATGCTCAAAACAAAGAATGCAAAAGACACCAAAACCTAACAGAGAAATAAACTTAATTGAGAGGGCTCTTGCCAAATGCCGTTGCTTGAATGACAACCGTTCGAATACAGTTGGGAGCTACGATTCAGATTCAGGATATGTCATATGTATACTACGAGTAGT